CAATAGAAGAAAACGTGCCACAACACTGCGGTGCCCTGTCAGTATTTTTTTGCGCTGAGAAAATGTTTTCATTTTTAGCAGCAGTGCGATTTGTTCAAAAGTGAAGGCCTATAGTCTGTCCATACTCTCAAACGCCTGCATTACGTCACTAGCGCGATCATGTTAGGGTTGGCAGCGGCAGTTGCTGTGTCGCGCTCACTCGAAAACACTGCTTAAAGTGGGTGTCGCCTAATAACGGCAATGTGTCTTCGAACCAGCGTTCGTTGCGCACATAGGCCCAACTTTCGCTGTTGATGGCTCGGGGAGACAGTGCGGAAGCAGTCAAAATGAAGCTGTTCATGACAAGTCTTTGTTTGAGGCTCATCACTCTTGCCTTCGCAGCGTTTAGCTCATCTTCGATGGAGCCGAGGGCGACAAAAGTCAGGCCCGCCTCAACTGTTGCTTTATCTCTGTCTCTGCGCTGAGACATCGCAGGACCACGATGAAACGCGGCACGCCGTCACTGACCCAGCTAGACGCAGCCATGTAAAAAGCACTACAAAAAAACAAAAACAGCAAAACACCAACTGTTCATAGTTGCCAGACGAACTTAGGTTGCTGCTAAAAACGCAAAAAAAACGAAACAAAATTACAGGTATGCGCATTATAAGCCACCAGACAATAAAAAAATGGTTTTATGCTCCGGCGTCGCTGAATGTGATGTACATGCGCAGATTCTTTTTAATATTTCCAATCTTGCTGCTTACACAAACAGCGCCATTTTTTCTGCAGCGTTCTTCTGAGGCACCGCCTAAAGCAGTAGTCCGGTGCTGTGTGTCATCAGCGTCACTCCTTTCTGCAAATGGTCCCCTTAGGCGACAAAAGGGGTTTACTTCAAAGTACTTTACTTTTGCCCGTGTGTCACGGGTCTTAAAAAGGTAATAAGAGCAGGCAAGGTAGAACTTTTTTTTAATTAACCAACCAATACAATTTCATAGTGCTGTTGTTCAGTCATCAAAGATGGTACAGGCATTAAGGTAATTGTACAAGCTAAAATTGTGCTGATATCATGCATAGTATATTATAACTTAGATTGAATATAATTATGATCATGCATAGTATATTATAACTTAGATTGAATATAATTATGACTTGTTCACATTTAATCCTTCCACGATAGCACACACGTTTACACACACTGATATGTGAAGTACACAGAGTCTTGCTTGTCATAATATACCTTTCAAAACTTTAGAAGGACAGCGCAACGAAAAAACGTGGATGACAAAAAAGACGCACCCAGTGTAATAATTCCCTAATGGTTCAGAAAAAGCATCAAAGTCCTCAAACACGAAGTCTCGCCATTGGAGCGACACTGTATTTAAAAGTAATAAGCAAGTGCTTCTCACTGTAACATTTCTTTGCATTTATTTTGATTTGTGAATTGCTGCATATAAAACGTAACAGTGAACTAAACGTGAAATTGTGGGAGTTCACACCTAATGTCTAAACTAAAGAAATGAAACATCTGTTAAATGTGCATTCTTGCACATGTTTCGTAGCTTCCTTAAGTATGAGTACAACCAAAACTATCGTACAGTGCTTGTACTAATTCAAAAACATTGCAAATTGCAAAAACATTGGTAAGCACCTTTTCTTGCATATTTCTAAATGGATGGTGATGCACCTTGTTAATGATCATTTTTCTTTCGCATGCTGCAACCAAAGTAGCGTCTCTCATAATCATATGGTGGTTTTGGGACGTTAAACCCCACATTTCAATCAACCAAAGTTGTCGGAACAATGTCATTACTCGCTGTGAATACCAGTAGCAAGGCATAGCTGCCGGCACGACTGGCCAGATTGAGCAGTGAAACAGCACAGTCACTGAGTAACAGCAGCAGGTCGCAAAAAACTTGATTCTGAGTGTGTGTCCCATATTGTCTTTGTATTTTTGTACAGCACAGGAACCTGCATGCGACATTTCCTGCGATCTGTAATTTATTCGGCCAAGTTAAAACATTCGCATAAACTGCTTTATTATTTTTTTCCCCGATGAAATTTCCTGGCGGAACTGCACTCAAACCTCATTATAGCAGCCACGTCTTTCACAAAAATAATTGTTCTATCCGAAATTTTGTTATATAGTTTTGCAACACTGTATGTATGGCAAGACTATTCCTTGTTTACTTTGTTATAACCATTGTTATATCCAGGTTCGTTTTGTGAAAGTTTGAGTGTACAACCAAATGCGATCCAACCTGGCGAGGAACCCTTTGATGACCAGACTTCCACCTGCGAAGCTCTTGAGGCCTTTAGACTTGCAGAAGACATTTTGCTCTTGACAATACTTTTTTAACTATTATTAAAGCACACACTCAACATTCCGATTCAAGCAGCTAAATGACAATGTTGGGATAGATGTAGGAGGGAAGGGGACAGTTTGGAACAGCTTCTATGTTAGTCATAACACAGAACTTGAAATGTGTTCCGGTTACTGAGAGATAAAACATTAGTGCAGAATTCACGTAGGAAGCCTGTCATATTGGAGGCACTTGTTCCATTCAAGCAGCAGTTTCGTTTGAGAATTCTATTCGGTACTGACTGTCGACTGTACATCTTAAAACAAGTGAACATTGTCACTGCGGCTGACGGAAAGTGGTTTGGGCACGTAATTATAAATGCCGAGTGCAGCATCAGCAAGGTGGTTACGATGACCAAGTTCTGGTGTAAAGATGCAAGTCCAACCTTGCAGTGAGAAAGATCTTGATACTGAGAAGCCATGATGAAAAAGGCCTAGTCAAAACTTAAAAAAAAACCACTGTACAAAGAATAGATATAGGTTATGAAATAAGTATGAAAAAAATTACACCACAGCTTTTTATCACCTGTTGCGTGCTACTCGTTTTATGTAAAGAAAAAACTTTTACTGAAACTAATAAGATGGGTTAGCCATTTAATCTGCACTTTTTTTCCCCAGCTATTGCTATGTAAACTACTAGTGTACATAGCTTAGAACAAAACTGAATGCATTGCCACAGAGACTCTTTCAGCTCAGACCACGCTCAAATATGTGACAATCTTTGTTTTTCATTCTATACGTCGAGCTAAACTACCTGACAGCCTAGCCTCTTGACCATTTCTGTATGATATGTCTCTGAATTATACTTGCACATCCACGAACATTTTTGGAAAATGAAGAGTGCGACAACAAAGCTCAACTTTAATGCAGTAGATGTGCCTGCTCTGGAGCTAAAAAACACAATACGTGTTTTGACGTAAACCTAGTATTGCACAGCACACCCTATTTCTAGGCCAACTTTCACAACCACAACTGCATTTACAACTTTCTCAACTTCGACACTCCAGAAACTAGCGATCGGGCCAACCCAGTGGGAGAAGCTTTACACAAGGCAGCACTCAAGCATCATACATGACAGCTTTACAAGGTAACATCTGCCCGAGCTAAAGCCACAAAGATATTTGAGATGACAGCAGATGCATGCCTACATGCAGGGTGCCACAGTTCACTTGCGTCTAGTATTACAAAAACAAACACATGTGCCATGTGTGTCAAATTGGTCCGGTATTGCTCTGAGCGATACACAGCAAATCAAGGTATTTCTTGCCATCTGCCAAGCTGGGTAATTAATTGAATTTCCCAACTTAACCAAATTTCCCAACTTTTTAATCAGTAACTCAAGTTGAATATCTTCGTTGCAAAAGTTATAGCACTTGTTTTGAGATGTCGGATGTTGTCATCTATACTAAGCTAACTAAATCTAATAAGCTGGGCAAGTAACAAAAGTTTCTTTACTAATACTTAATACAGAAACTGTATTGAAATTAATAGAAAAGTCGTAAAGTTGATTCAGCAACTTTGGATTATTTTGTCTCTGCAAAGAGAATTGCCTTTTTTTTTTTTTTACAGCATTGCGTTAGGGTGCACGAAATGAGAAGCATACTTGGTGAAAGGTAGCAGATATACCTTGTATTTGGTTTACAAAAGGCTTAAGATTGTTACTGAAGTAATAACAACAAAGGTGCTCTCTTTCACAACGCAGCTCTTTTGAGATTACCTGACAGCTTCTCCAGGTGAAATTCATCTCAGATTAATAAGTTGCAGAAGCAGTTTTTCCAAGCATCTACTGCCTCTGCAACTGCTTGGTTCAGGTATTGCATCAGGGGACACCCTCTAATTCACTGGTTGACTATGTCGTCCATTCTGACATTCAGTTTGAGCTTGGGAACCCTAGCCTGCAGTTAATTTCATAAGTAACATCCAAAACACTACAGCTGTGATGTGCTTCTGACTTCTGTAATCTCTTTGCTGTCTTTTGTTAACAAACACATGGCCTTAATGCTTTTGTTTTCCTGAGGGAGTCTGTGGTGGGTTCAATTGGCTAAGCACCAGCACGAATAGCTGGTTGCGGACATGCCCGAAAACCACGAATTCACTCCTGCCTTTCTTGCACAAGCAACTAGATCAGCAACATCTCGAAGTTATAAGTTATCAAGCCAAAGTGCTTCTGTCAAAGGTTTTTACAAACTGTGCCAATGTTTGTTGTGTCAATGGTTATTGTTTATTTTGCCACATATTACCCGAGCAACTTTTAAAAATCAAAACGTAGCATGTATCTTATTCTGTTTGCCATTGACAAATAACAGGAACTGTCGAGAAAATTGCAACATAACCAAGCACTAATCTTGTATACTATATTTTTCAGTGTGTAAGCCACACTTGTTCCGATTACAGAGCTCAAGATTTCAATGGAGCACGCAAAATGTGTACAAGGCTATGGCGGAAAACTCAAGTCCGATCAGCTAAAGTTCATTAATGTTCAACCACTGCCGAGCACGTGTGCATTTTTGCACAATGCCTCCGTTAGAATGCAGCTAGGCATGGCTAGGAAAATTCACAATTTATGATTAACAGCTAGATCTAGTGATGCACCACAGCAACTACACTTTTTACTGTCCTTGTAAGCAGAGTTAATTTAAAAGAAAGATTGGCACATAAGTTGCATATTTGCATAAGAAGGACCTGTCTTTATTTGGCCGGAGAAAGTAAACTTGAATACTTGTCATTGCGATATCACTGTGAAATTATACATTAATTGTGAGCAAATTGCACTACAGGGCTCGAAAAATACACTAGGCACAGTGCTAGCCTACCATAGCCATCAAAAGAACACACTGGGAAAAGTTGGTACTAGCTAAAGGACATAACATAACGCGACAAAACAAAGACTTTCAAAAAAAGATAGAGGCATTGCATCGTGTTTACATGTGTAGTTGCGGATCTGTGTGCGTTCTTTTTTGGGGCATGTGTCATTGCATTACATTGGATTCTTCATGAAGGGCTCTTGCTCTCTGTAGAAACATTCAGCCTTTTTATACCGTGCGATTGCAAATTGTTTTAGAATATATTGGCTACATATACAGCAATGAACAATTAACCACAAAACTTCTGCATAACTTGTGAGGTTGTATGGTGCGATGCCTCAGGTCTAGCATTCAACAGAGTAGTACTATGCACTCTTTTCAAGAAAAGAAAAAAGGAGGAGAAAAGGTGAGGTCGTTCGACAAACTATCAACTTAAGAGAGAACTGTTCATGAGGCTTTATGGTAATTGGAAGCTCAGGGTTTGTACTCCTAAGTAGCAATAATGTCAGCCTGTTACACACCGTTTTTCTTTACTGAAGTTCAGCGTGTGAGATTATTCACTCTGTCCTGAAAGGCTAGTGGTCGTTAATGTTGGTGCCACAGAATTTCAAAGCTACATTACAGCTTTTCTACGTTACATTTTCACATCTTTTCTGTGACAGTCGAGAAGCAAAATGCGGGCTTGATTTGTATGGCATCGCAAAGTATCTAGTAGGCAACAACCACAGGCACGGAATATGCATTTAATCGTATGTGTGTATTTGTATAGAAACAGTGTCATGAGAATGCAGTGGTTTCTCACATTAATGCATGCACTACGACAATACAACACTGTACCTGTTGATGCATCCTTGTACTGAAAACACGACATTTCTTGAAATTAAGTGGGACGTATACACTGGAAAACACTGCACAGTCAAACTATATAACTAATGAAAGCCAATATTATTTCTTGTCAACATTAGCATACACTGAATAGTATGGTTATAATGAATACATAGATGTAACAAGCATACCTTTGTTTCAAATGTGACATTGTTATTACGTTGTTCTGTGGCATAGTTTCATAATAGTACACCAGAGGGAAATCTGGCACTAGTGTCTATGGGAGCTGCAACACATGACGCTTCAGCCTTGATGCAAGTGACTGGTAGTGCATGGATTTATCAGTAGGTGGATTTATCAATTAGTACATGGACTTATCGGTATCATGTCTCACAAGGACGTGCAGCCACTTTAGTCACAATGAAAAGTTCAGTAGGCCTACTTCACCACGCAGACACTTTGAGCCTCACCACTTCAAAACAGCTCACGAGTTTCACGATAAGCCATCTTTATCCAAAACAAAAACTGAGACACAGCAACAAACAAAACTACAAGCGTGTTTGAAACCGCAAACATGAAGACGAGGCAAACGCAGTGTACAGTGATATCTCGATACGTTTTTCACAGAAACCGCTAAATAAAACGTATTATGCAAAAATCGTATTAGCCAAGGAGGCTGGTCAAGAGTAATGTAGACAAGGAGCAAAAAGAAATATGTGTAAGGTATAAACAAGTGCAGAATTGTATCAACAAGATTCCACTGTACCTGGTGGTTGGAAATTTCCGGAGCCCTCCACTACTGCGTCTCTCATAACCATATGGTGGTTTTAGGACGTTAAACCCAACATATCAATCAATCAAATCAATCAAGATTCTACTGTACTACCAATCATTCCCATGGTGGCTGAATGATCGCAGCGTGCCAGTTCCCTCTAGTAAATAATGCAGGAAGCTCTATGTTCTGTGGTACACGTACTTTCAGGGTTCTGGGGGTTCTTTGCCGAACTGCGGAGAGATGCATCGATGACAGTCACGATGACTGCTTGTGACGCATCCATCACAACCACTGTTTCAAGTGTTCCTTAAGTAACAGCCACGTTCAGCTTGAGGAGGTTGCTCAGGTGGACAGCGTCCACCGCTGTGACTGGGCAGTGCGGCGGCACGGTTGTGCCGTCAGACGACCGTTGCTGCCATCCAGGCACAGCTTGCCTCCTGGCTGCTGAAGCTTGTGATCCAGCCACAGCCACCTCTGCACAGCCAATAAGCAAGGCAAGGACATTGTGACTTTGCTGTGCAGCAAAGGTTAGCTTACAAGTAAGTAATTGGTCTGGATTTTTGAGACAAAACAAAGTTTTTTCATTCGTGAGAGGAAACCAGCCAAGAAAAGAAAATGAAGATGCAAAGACCAAACACCGCTTGTCCTGTCTGGTTGTTCTTCGCTGTCTTCACTCTTCCAAATAGTATGAACAAACTCACTCGACAGGCTACTCTTTTAAACGAGTGTGACCAGATTACAATTGAACTCTCACATTGTTATTTCTTCTAATAAACAGCACCGAGGAAAAAGATGCAGAAATAAGAAAGGGTCGAACAATACAGGGCATAAGGGAAAATATAAATAGCCAAAGAAGAATATATGCTTCTGACTTGTAAATACTACTTTCCAGCAAACCTAGGAAAATTTTACTTCGAATAAGTTGGTTGGAATGCCAAGTGCATTCTGACCTTGTGGCCCGCCAACTACCATTTAGTTTGAACTAATGCCTAGATGACTTTAATTAATCTTTTTTCTTTCTTAATAACAGAATGAACCTGATAAATTCATAGCTTAACCTTATCCATATTACAGCGCTGTAGCATACGGTGCATGAAGAAACCGATGCATGAAGAAGACCGATGCATGAACTTGCTTGGATCATTTTTGGTATATTTGCAGCAGATTATGGTAGCAGGCATGCAAAATGTAAACACATGCTGTGCTTCGCCAACGAAAGTTTAAGAGAGCTCTATAATACCAGCGTCACACAGGCACATTTGGTCACAATCGGATCTGATCCACATTAGTTCTCGGAAGGGTAGTGCTAGTGAACAAGGGCTAAAGGAAGGCACATAGACACACAGACAGAACCGCTATAGCAACTGGCTTTGGCAAATAGAACTTGTTGTTTCGATTGGTACAGATTGCTCAAATTCTTCAACATAGTTTCTTTTGTCATTGATACACCGTTTCAAATGTGGTACCCACACTGCAAAGGCTCCCTGAAAGTCGGCTGCTGTGACCTCTCTCAGAAACATTGTGACAGTCCGTTTAAGGGCGGGAACACTGTTGAAACGGTAACCTTTCTGGATTCTCTAGGGCTTGGGGAACAGGAAGAAGTATGCCGCGCTTACTGATGAAACCCTGACACAGCCCTGATGCGAGCTGGAGACTTCTTCATGTTCCCAAAGCTCAAGAGAATCCTGAAAGGTTACCGTTTCAACAGTGTTCTCGCCATACAACGGAATGTCGCAATGTCTCTGAGAGAGGTCACTTCGGCCGACTTTCAGGGAGCCTTTGCAACGTGGGAATCACAGTGGAATCGGTTTATGGACACCATAGGTCGGCGAACTCACTTGCAAGCCGACTCATTCAGACTCGAATCAAGCCACGAGTCCGAGTGAGCCCGGATGAGTAATATTTTGGCGAGTCTGAGTCCGAGTGAGTCCGGTTGAAAAGAATTTTTGTGGGTGTAAGTCTGAGTGAGTTTGGCCCAGTAAAATTTTACCGAGTGCGAGTGAGTCTAAAGCGCAACATATATTTCTTGAACGAGTCTGCGAGAGTTCCACTTTTGCCGATCTATACTTCTGTCTACTCACCTTCAGCATAACTATCAGCCTGACCTGAATTATTGATTGTGCTCACGCCTATTCACACATATTCCAAAACAGTATTGTTCATACACTATTTCAAAATTTATTAATCAGAGGTACCATTGAATATCGCGTTCTATGCTCTAACCACTGAGCTATCACAGCGGCCTTAATCAGAGGTACCTCTTCCAGTGAAGTTCTCAATAAATATGTTATGTAACCATCTTTTCCAAGAAAAATGATCCAACTGATTGGTGAGCACTCGTAACTCGTATTCAAAGGTACTACGTACATCAAACGGCGTCCAGAAGAACACCAATTACGTGAAATATTGGTGTTAAAGAACATTGACAACTCGGTCGAGAAAGGTAATTCCAGGCTAACGGACTCAGATTGAGCAGCGAGTCCGAGTCTGGGTGAGTTATACTTTAGTTTAGATCCGAGTGAGTTTGGTTGAAGAAAATTTTCGTGATCGTGAGTTCGAGCATGTCTGGCTGAAAAAAATGTTTGAGTCTGAGCTCAGAATTTTTACGAGTTCGAGCCAGAGTGCATTCAAAGTGCGAAATGTATTTCACGAGTGAGTCTGAGTCAGCTCCACAGGTTTTGGCGATTTATGATGGACACTGAAGAAAACTGTTCTGAAGAATTCAAATTACATGTTCCGACCAGATCAATGAATTCTTTTTGCCAGATTCAAACTCGTTACTTTCCGGATAGACCCTATTAAACAACATTGTAGCATAAGGGCTTTCAACCTGAGAGGGGTGTCCGCCACAGGGTCGAAGCAGCAGCGACCCTTCCTGCTCTTCATCGAGTGTAACGCACAGGCCTCCGTGGGCGATGAGGCGTGACGCGAGGCTCCAGTGCTGGTTGCCTCCGGCGCCATGACACGCAAAAAGGCCCACCGGAGAGCCCTCGCTTCCGCCGAGCGTGTCCAGGCACAACGATCCCTGGCGCAGAGATGCCAGTCGCTCGCCACCAGCCGCTGGCACCCTGTGTAGTTGACTTCGTTTCATCGATGATTCGCCTACACTGAAACCTCATTATAACAAAGTTGCATTTTGCACGAAAATAAGTTAGTTTTATCCAAAAATTTGTTATAAAGGTATATTTTTATCATTATGTCTATTGCAAGAATATTTTTCATTTACTTCGTCACAACCAATATTTCGTTGTATACAGATTTGGATTATTGTGGCTGTAGACCTAGATATAATGAACCCAGGTGTGAAGTATTGGTTATAACAAAGTAAATGAAAAATAATCTTGCAATACACATAATGTCAAGTATATACATTTACAACGGACTTTCAGAATATAACGAAGTAAATGAAAAATAATCTTGCAATACACATAATGTTAAGCATATACATTTATAACGGACTTTTAGATATAACAAACTTAATTTTATGCAAAATGCAACTTTGTTATAATGAGGTTTGAGTGTATCAGTTATAACGAAGTCAATGAGAAATAGTCTTGCAATATATCTAGTGTTAGGAATATACCTTTATAACAAATTTCCAAATATAACAAGCCTATTTTCATGTAAGGTGCAACTTTGTTATAATGCGGTTCGAGTGTATTACATTTATGATGCGGTAATGCTGCACACAATTAACCACTTTGCACAATTATTTATTGTACTGATACGCTGTGTGTTCCCGTGGACTTGTACAACTTTATTTTTCTCCTTAGGGTTATACTGAGTACACAAAAAGAAAATTATTGTGCATGATAGCATTCGTATTGAGCCCTTTTAGCTGTAGCGACATTGGTGACTTCAGTGAATGTAGCCATGGCAACAGACCAAGGCAAAAAAGGGGCTTGCAGTAATTTGCATATGTGGCCCTTTTTTGTGAACACCGAAGTGACACGCATTACCTTTTCGTACGAGCATACAGCAGCAATGATCTATTCTGTGAACATCTGGTACAATGAATGGATGATATACACTCAGAGCTCCTTATAACAAAATTGGAGCTTACACGATAATAAATTCTTGTATTTGAAAATTTGTTATAAAAGTATATTTCTAACAATACATCTACTGAAAGAATATTCATTTACTTCGTTATAAACAATATTTCGTTACATCTCAATTTGTTATATTGAGGTTTGAGTGTATAACACGTAGTGTACCTACCATGCACCAAAATGTCTGGTAATTTGTCACACTTAGCACCGCAATAATATCTGGGGATTTTATGAGCAGATTATGAGGCACACTGTAGTGGAGGGCTTTGGAAATTTTTGCCACCCGAAGTTCTTCGGTGAGTGCCTAAATCCAAGTACATCGGCCTACAGCATTTCGTCTGTATAAAAACGAGACTGTTACAGCAGGTATCATACCCACGTGTTTCGGACCAGCAGCTAAGCACTGCAATCGCCATATCCTTAGAGTTTCCTAAATTTAATTAGAGGAGTCTCTGGCACTGCGATCGTTCCGGATCGCAGTGCCACCCACCATGGAAATGATGGGTAGTACATGGATTTGCCTAGTCTTCGTGCTTGCGGGCTTCGAACGCAGTTGTTGCTTCGTTTGTTGGAGTGTTTCAGATTTGTTTTGAATAAAAGAACAAACCGTTTTGAACTTCGAGACCCGATTCGAATTGGTGAGCCTAAGGGTTAAGGTGATGAAGTGTAACTGCTAAACTACTGCCGATTGTTGTTTCCAGGCAAAACAGCTTCAAGCCTTGTGAAGCCAAATGGAACACGGAATACGGAGACTAGTCAAATCTATGTAGGTACTACCGATCATTCTCATGCTCGCTGGAGCACCATGCGTTACAGTGCCCCTAGACACTAGCGCCAGAGTTCCCTCTAGTGTATTTATAAGAAACTCTATGACTGTATCAACATGGTGGCTCGCCTAGCAAAGCAGTGCTAAGCAAAATTAAATAAGACAAAACTTTTGTGGTGCATACGCACGGAGGATGCAGAGACGGTACATGCAACAAAATAGGTGCATGCCTTAATTGAAGGCATTTGTGGCGATATTTGATGACCTTATACAAACAGACAGCTTGCACACCCACTTGGGAGAAGCTTAATTACTCGCGTTATAGCACTTTGAGTCCCCACCAAAACTAGTTAAGATGACAGGTCCTCTTGTGTGTGCTATTTTCCTCTAAAAAAAAGTCCTGACACTCAGAACATCAATTTTGTTGCACCAGCAGATGTAATGGAAGTGTACCTAGTAAGGAACACCTGCAAACACACTAATCTTCCTAAACCTTTTGCAACACGGCGTCTTCATTTCGAGACATGACTTATACTTTTGCCGCTTGACCTGCATGGTGGTCTGGATGTTGTGGTGCTCAGCTGTTGACGTGCAGGCCGTGTGATCGAACCTCGGCCACGGCGGCCAAATTTTGTATGACAGCCAAGATGCTTGAAACCAGTGTGCTTAGATGAAAATGCACGTTAAGTAAAGAACCCCAGGAGTCTGAATTTCCCAGGCCCTTCACTATGGTGTCTCTTAAAATATTGTGACGGAGCGAGGTCTTGGCTTACAGGACAGCGTCCACCGAGAGTCGGCAGCCGAACAAGATGTCTGAGTTGCCTCTCGTGCAAGCGCCTAACGCACAGGCGTCTTCTTCATCTTCGCTAAGTGCCACGCTTCCTCCTGTCGATGATGCACCGTAACATCACTCCCCTGCGGCGGAAGCGCCGTCACGGCGCTTAGTACGGCGGCGACGAACGAGGAGGGTGATACGGTTTCAGTCTGGAAACGTGTACAACGTCTGTCTGGAGTGAGGTGGTCGAAAAGGCATTGTTTAGGGGTGCGATCTCGTAGCTCACATCACTAAGTTGTCGTAACACTTTGTAGGGGCCATGGTAGTGTGATAGTAGCTTCTCTGATAAGCCGACTTGGCAGTTTGGTGTCCAGAGAAGTACCAGAGACCCCGGCGAGAAGTGCACGCTTTGGTGGCGACTGTCATAGCGGTCTTTTTGCTGCGCTTGCGACAAGTGCAGCCGATCACAGGCAAGCTGACGGGCTGCATGGGCTCGAGAAACGACATCGCTGGCGTACTCAGTAGACAAGGGGGCAGCCGAAGGAAGGAGCGTGTCAAATGGTAATGCTGGATGTCGGCCAAATAGCAAATAAAACGGCGAATAACTAGCTGTGTCGTGCCGTGAAGAATTGTACGCGAACGTGACAAAGGGGAGTGCTTTGTCCCAGTCACGGTGATCTGGCGAAATGTACATTGACAGCATCTGCGTCAGCGTTCGGTTCAGACGCTCGGTCAATCCATTTGTCTGTGGATGATAAGCGGTGGTAAGCTTGTGCTCAGTGGAGCAGGCGCGGAGAATATCATCCACAACACGTGAAAGAAAGTACCTTCCTCGATCAGTAAGCAGCTGCCGCGGAGCGCCGTGATGAAGAATGACTTCATACAAGAGAAAGTCAGCGACGTCAGTGGAACAGCTTGTCGGCAGTGCTTTAGTGATGGCAAAGCGTGTGGCGTAGTCTGTGGCGACTGCAACCCATTTATTTCCGGAGGTGGACGTAGGAAACGGGCCCAACAGGTCAAGGCCAACACGGAAGAATGGTTCCGTTGGTATGTCAATGGGCTGTAGGAGGCCAGACGGTAGCACAGAGGGGCGCTTGCGGGGTGCAGCGGTCGCAAGCAGTGACGTAGCGAACCACAGAACGATGCAGTCCGGGCCAGAAAAAGCGACGTCGCACACGATCGTAGGTACGAGAGACGCCTAGGTGACCGGCTGTAGGTACGTCATGTAGTTGTTCAAGAACGCTGGTACGCAGGTGATGGGGAAGCACGAGTAGTAATTTTGGGCCATCAGCGTTGAAGCTGCGACGGTACAGAATGTTGTCGTGCAGTTCGAACAGGCGAACGGAAGGGTCTGTCGGAGCAGAGGTCAGACGCTCGATAATGGAGAGTAACGACGGGTCACGTCGTTGTTCGGTGGAGATATCACCCAAAGCGTGGATGGAGAGAACGCAGGGGTCTGAATCAAGGTCTGTCAAGTCGGGCGTTTCAACCGGATAACGTGACAAACAGTCTGCGTCTGTGTGGAGGCGTCCCGACTTGTAGTGGACCACGAATGAGTATTCTTGCAGACGGAGCGCCCAGCGACCAAGACGTCCAGATGGGTCCTTTAGCGATGACAGCCAGCAAAGAGCGTGATGGTCCGTAACAACGGAAAAAGTTCGGCCATACAGGTAAGGCCTGAATTTCGCCACGGCCCACACTAAAGCTAGGCATTCACGCTTAGTGATGGAGAACTTCCGTTCGGCAGGTGAAAGAAGACGACTGGCGTAAGCAATCACGCGGTCCTTCCCGTGCTGTCGTTGGCCAAGGACCGCTCCAATTCCGTGGCCACTGGCATCGGTCCGAAGCTCTGTAGGTGATGCTGGGTCGAAATGGGCCAATACTGGTGGCGTAGTCAGCAGACAGATAAGAGCCGAAAAGGCGTCCGCTTGCTCTATACCCCATGCGAAGGGAACGTCCTTCTTTAAGAGATCAGTAAGCGGTCGAGCCATGTCGGCGAAGTTGTGGACAAATCGACGAAAATAGGAACATAGCCCTACAAAACTTCGGACGTCCTTGGTTGAGCGTGGTTCAGTAAATTGTTGTACTGCTCGCACCTTTTCGGGATCTGGTTGAACACCATCGGCACTGACAAGGTGGCCGAGTATGGTGATTTGGCGACGTCCGAAATGGCATTTTGCAGAATTGAGCTGGAGAGCAGCTCTTCGAAAAACATCCAGAACAGCTGACAGACGTGTTATATGGCTGTCAAAGGTGGGCGAAAAGATGATGACATCGTCTAAATAACATAAGCAGATGGACCACTTATATCCTCGGAGAAGGGAATCCACCATGCGCTTGAAAGTTGCCGGCGCATTACACAGTCCAAACGGCATGACTTTGAACTGGTAGAGGCCGTCGGGCGTAACGAAAGCGGTTTTTTCACGATCCATGGGGTCGACGGAAATTTGCCAATAGCCGGATCGAAGGTCGATAGATGAAAAGTATTGGGCACCATGGAGGCAATCGAGGGCGTCATCAATCCGAGGCAAAGGGTAGACATCTTTGTGGGTCACTTTGTTTAAATGGCGATAGTCCACGCAAAAGCGCCAGCTGCCATCTTTCTTCTGAACGAGCACGACTGGGGAGGCCCAGGGGCTGGATGAGGGTTCTATTACGTCTTTAGTAATCATTTTATCCACTTCATTTTGAATTACTTGGCGTTCCTTGTGAGATACGCGATATGGACGCCGCCGTATAGGACTGGCATTACCAGTGTTGATCCGGTGAGTCACTGCAGTTGTTTGGCTGAGAGGGCGGTGGTCAAAGTCGAAAACGTCTCTATATGATGTTAGCAGACTACGGAGGCTGGCAGCTTGCACTGCAGTGAGGTCGGGAGCAATCATCTTGTTAATGTCATCTGCAGGCAGAGTGTAATTGCGGCCAAGACAGGGGGATGTAGTATCGGTGTCCAAACCAGTAACGTTGCAGCTGTCAAGTGGAGATAGGGTGGCCAAAGACATGCCTTGCGGAATAACTTGAGTCAAGAGACTCACGTTGAGTAGTGGTATAACCACTGTATTATTAGCAACGGCGACAACAGTGTGAGCAAGGGCGACGTCTCGGGCCATCAGTACGTCGACTATAGGAGTGACGAGGTAGTCACCGTCGGGCACATGACGTGAGCACGACAAAGTGACATATGTAGCAGCTTGCGGAGGCAAGCGAACGTGGTGACGAGAGCGTAAACGGGGAGAATAGTCTGCTGGAAAATCGGCAAACTGCGGCAGTTCAAGCTGAAGAGCACAAGTGGCACAATCAATGAGCGCAGAATGACGTGACAGGAAGTCCAAACCAAGCATTAGGTCATGAGGACACATTTCAATGACGGCAAACTGAACTAATGTAGGATGACCAGCAATGGACACACGGGCCGTGCACATCCCTTGAACATCAGGGGTCCTCCCATCAGCGACACGAAGTTTGTGGGAAGCGGCAGGCGTGAGCACTTTATGTAGGCGTCGGCGAAGGTTCGCACTCATTACAGAAATGTGCGCTCCAGTATCTATAAGGGCAGAAATAGGCACACCGTCAACGGCAACGTCTAACAAATTTTGTCTCGTCGGAAGCGTCAAGAGAGGATTTGTGGAGAAAGTCGAAGATGCAGCGTCACCTCCGGGCGCTGCACCGTTTAGTTTTCCGGGTAGGCAGGAGCGGGGTTGAATGGAGATGACGGCCTGCGAGTCTGCGGTGAGCGAGACGACTGGCGACGAGGCGAACGCGACTGATGACCATGCGGTGACGGAGATCGGCTGTTGAACCTTCTGTAGTTGTTTTGTGGAGAAGGCTGCACGGCAGACGCGAAGCGGGTGCTGTCCTGTCGGTAGTGAGGTTGAGATGAAGTCCGAGGTGGCGAGAACCAGCGGTAATTGCAGTAACGGACGACATGACCGATACGGTGGCAATGAAAACAAATTGGTCGATTGTCGACGGTTCTCCACGCCGCAGGGTCGCGAGATCGGGCCGTGAACTGCTGCTCGCGATAGGACGAGGGTGGACGCCATGAAGCTCGCTGCGGGCTGGGCAAAGCGCACACCGAGGGAATACCTATGCTGGCGAGTTCTTGGCGGACGATAGCTTGAACCATGTTAGCAGTGAGTGGGGTGGTGTCACTTGCAGCGGTGTGAGCCGGAGCAGAGGCAATGGCTTCAAGTTCGCGCCGTACAATTCGGGTCACCTGATCCGATGAATCTAGAGGTGGTGGCTGTGTTCTTGCACGGTCTTCGCAAGATAATGTTGCAGCCGTATTCGGCAGGCGGGTGAACACGCTGTTAATCCGCCGGCTCTTCGCTTGCTCAAAGCGCCGACATTCTTTTATAATGGCGTCCACTGTAGAAAAATTTTTGCAGATGAGGAGGTTGAATGCGTCATCCGCAATCCCCTTAAGAATATGCCCGACCTTGTCAGCCTCCGGCATATCGGCATTGGCTTTGCGACACAACGACAACACATCTTCTATATAGGAGACGTAAGACTCGGTCGTGGTCTGCGCCCGAGACGCGAGCATTTTGTTCGCGGCCGTTTTTCTTCCAATCGGCCTTCCGAACAGGTCTAGCATTTTCTCCCTGCACACTGCCCAACTCACAAGTTCTGTTTCATGGTTCTCATACCACGATTTGGCGGTTCCCCTAAGATAGAATAACAGGTTTGCCAGCGTAAGAGTCGGGCCCCATCGGTATCGAGTACTCACACGTTCGTACTCTGCCAGCCAATCTTCAACGTCAACTTCATCTGGATCGCCGGAACCACTGAACGTGCCAGGATCCCGCGGGGGTTCGAGCACAAAGGTTGTGGTCGCAGAAGGAGATGTAGTTACCGCATCATCTCCGGCCGCAGGAACACCAGGAGCAGATGCAGACGCCGTACTCTCCGTCATCGTTGTGGAATGACCCTTCAAACGTCGGCCGCTGCGAAGTTCCGTTGCGAGGCGGTTGCCCAGCACTTCCACCAAATGTGACGGAGCGAGGTCTTGGCTTACAGGACAGCGGCCACCGAGAGTCGGCAGCCGAACAAGATGTCTGAGTTGCCTCTCGTGCAAGCGCCTAACGCACAGGCGTCTTCTTCATCTTCTCTAAGTGCCACGCTTGCTGCTGTCGATAATGCACCGTAACAATATCATGGTTTTGGGACGTTAAACCCAATAATTATTATTATTACTTTGAGCGAGTGGTAAATTAAGCATTCGTGTTGTCTAGGGTTTCTTGTTATCACTTTTTGTTGAGATATTTCGCTGTAAAATACTATCCCTTTGGTGAAGGCAGTCCCGTGCTTAACAATTTGTTTCACACGGGGCATTTGGCATAAATTTCAAAATATTTTCCTACCTCTTTAGGCATGCTCGTTGCCAGTGCAAGTAATGATTGCATGCATTTTGAGTGAATCATTCAATGCAGTCAAAGAAAAATATAGCATGACTGTCTGTACAATAATTAGATAACTATTTTGTAACTATAATTAGTTGCTGTAATCTTCATAATCCTTTAACCTATAATCTCTGTAATAAGTATATAATCCATTCTAACACTCCTGCTTACTTCAAATTAACTGTCCAGAAACTTGGCACCAAGCTATGCAAATTTCTCACATTAGAGACGGTCAATAATGATATGTGTCGCAAAAAGTTCATGTAAAATGCAGCCTCTGTATAAAGTTTTACTGGAGATGAGCAAAAATTTGATCAGGAAGAGCCTTGTACAAGTGAGAGCTCCATTTATGCAACACTCTGTGATCAAATTGCACGTCTGAGTTTGATATTTATATGCCTGGTTTTTTTCACTGCATCTGCAACATTATTCGTGCAGCTTCTGGCTAATCTATGCTTTATTAGAACAGTGACTCTTGCAGACAACAGATAGGCTGTCGCATGAGTTGGACATAGACATAGGACTGCAGTGTTAGCGTGTTTGATAACGTGCAACTTCAGCTACGCCTAGCGTCTTTACGTTCAATTTTCCGTGCGGTGCTGGTGACGTTCACGAACATGCCATGCACTTGGAAGTGATCGTGATAGTGAACAGTGACAAAGCACTGAACAAGTTGAAAGTTCCATGCACCATCGCAGTGTTACGTTTGCAGTGTTACCATGCAACGACAGTGAGGCTTATAACATGGATGTATGCTATCATAGTGAAGAGATGCCATGGCATGCACAGCAAGTGAGTATGATAGGCTGTTACTGTAACAGTGTTTGAATGGTTAATGTATGCAAGATGGCATGCAACAACCACTAGAGAACATGCTGGCAAGCTCAGTGCAGCCAATTTATTCAACATGTTGCCCGACGTTTCGGTGCCATGCAGGATTATCGCCGTCTCCGTCGAAAGGGCGATACTTGCTTCAATTCGGGAAACACGTTGTCGAGGTACCACTGGAAAGACTGGCAGCCCAGACGTTTGCGTAGATTTAGCCGCTCTTCAATGCTGTCAAGACAGACAGAGGAAAAACTTCTGACAATGAAACACAAACCAATGAACACAAACACAAACCCTACTCTACTGGCCCTGTATATTAAACTTCTACTGTTCTATAGAGACCTTATGTTCCTCAACAAAGAAATGCCAAATGGCAACAAAAACTAAATTTGATATGTTGCCATATTAATAAAAACATTATACATTCGATGATGGACACGGCTATGACAGCTCGAAAATGAAGAGGCATGGTTTAAAGTGAGAATACCCTTTCAAATAACTGTTACATTTTTTAGCAATTCATATGGCTTTTTAAATGCACATTCACTACACTAACTTACATGTGGATTAGTATACTAGCCGTTTCAGTAAGAAAACTTAAAAAAAAATACCCTTAGACCATTTTTTACACTGTGCATTGTCTGTTAATGTTTGCCTTTGCATTCATAAAACTAGACATTTGTGCCTTCTCAATGTACATCTTCAAATGACATGTCGTTTCGTAATAGACTCACATAGCAAGTTGTTAAAAGAAGCACGTACCTTCCCATGGGGACATTGCGAGCAACAGGCACCATGGCATAGTAGTACTTTTTAAAGTCATCCATCCAGACTTCAGCAGCACGACGAGTATTTCTTCATGCGAGAGAAATGTGTAGAAAATGCAGGCATGAAGTGACTAGGCTAGAGCCAAGATAAAGAATATTATAAAAAGCTCTTGAGAAACAATGTAGTGTAACACAAAAAGATGTTCTAATTGCTCAAAGTGAACTGAAGCATGTCTTTGGCATGGCACATTTTATGGCGTGCCAGTTATATATAACTTAAGTTAATTTTTAACGTAATTTGTTTTTAAATGCATGAAAGATAGCCTGATAGCATAGCAAGGAGTTTTTTTAAATGCAGCAGCAAACTACCAACATAACTGTCACAATGCTGGCAACAGAGCATAAACGTGACAGTGTCAACTTGCATAATTGTGAAGTATGAATTGCATAGCAAGAACGGCTGCAGTACTTTTATGTAGGTTACATAGCATAGCCTAACTAATAACGTAGCGCGTAAAAAATGTGAGACGCAGGAAGGGACAAAGGGGAGCCTATGTCACCCATAGCCCATTTCAGCGTGCACAACACAGTAAACCATGATATTCACAGTTTGTGTCAATTATCATAGTTTAATACTTCATAACAAGCTTTTACATCATGCAATTAAATGTAGTTCAATAATGCTTCCATACCAAAAGCCCATATATTTAGTTCATCCATACCATACTTGTACACCACATAAAAAGTAATTGCAAATTATATTCAGGTTTTGTTACCTTTATGTGAAACTTTGAAACACTTTACTTTGAACAATCACATTAACATAATTTTACTTGCACTATAACTTCTTCAGGTTCATACGATGTTCTGCACATCTTAGAAGAAAATGTCTCGTGATATCTTTCTCTCTCTTTTTTTCCCTCATAGTTTTCTGCTGATCACGCAATTTCACCCACAGACTTGCACTACAACCCTTAGAAAGTGTTATGGGGTCATGCATGTGCAAAGCTACGATGTTTAGTGTATAACATTGATTAAACACATTACCACGGGGCTAATGTAGGTGTCGCAGCCATGCTAGAAGAGAAGCACATTTAAAGGAAGTGCACATTATAATTTTATGAATACAGTCATCTCGTCAAATCCCATGGGCACAAAACCATCCCAGTAACTTGTTGCTCACCGAGCAAAGACATTGCCACTGCCCCCAGGAAAAGAGTACGGGTGCTGCTTGCGGAAGACATGGCCCACGCGACTGCAAGGCAGGATTTCCAGGCTGCCCCCGCACTGCCACACGCGGAAGGAGAGCTCTGCGCGAGGATGCGGTTTGGCATTCTACATAAAAGGCAACCCACATTGAAGTGACATATGTTGTGCCCAAGTAATGCTTTGTGGATGCAAAGCAAGAGAAAGCGAAGTTATTAACAAAACATATTTGAAACTCTTTTGCCCAGGTATCCATGTGTAGTAACCTCATGCCCGTAAAAAGCATCAGGACATAATGCACAATCTCATCACAAGAAATTCTATTAAAACATGGTTTTATTCCAGAATAATATCGCAACACCTAATATAAGGACAGAGGTCTAGGGGAAGATGGAAGGAGAAGAGGTGAAAAATTCCTTGAAATACGGGGCAGTCGCTGGAGTCAAGATTTCGACAAGTGGTTGTGTTCCCTTCAAGGATGCAACATTGAAGAGGACGAGGCCGCTCGTCGGCTCCAGCTACAACACGCGTTCCAAGGATTTTTTTCATCTGCTACAGCACTCAGTATGTAAGAACAGGTCTTATTCTGTGACCTAAATGTGACGTTACTATTAGGCTTGGTCGCCAAATCAAATCTGCCACTGCATTGTTACAACTACTCGCAACCAAAAAACACGAGTTCAACTGGACCAAGTTGCGAGGACATCTTGAGTTATTAGAGAGACTCACCGAGATTTTCCCCACCCCAAATGTCCATGGCTGTATCGTAGGTTCCCAGCTCTTCGAAATTGGCCTTGTCCACAACGAACAGGCCGCCTGCTATCATGGGCGTCCTGGGAGTGATTACGATATATAGAAGTGGGTTACAGGGCGTGCAGGTTGGATTCATTGTATTTATTTTCTATAAATCTGTCTCCTTTTAACGAAATTATGGAGATGTCACACATTGTGGGGATCATGTTCTGCAAGGAATCGGGCAGGCAGATAGCTGAACAGCGCTCTTGTGCGTCCAGGGTTTAAACCCTGAACCAGAATGAATGTTTTGACAACTAGTATGCTTTCTTTCTGAGAAAACATCAACATTAAAACCCCTAAAAACAACCTCAGATGTACCATGAAATGTATGTTTTCACCAAAATGGTTGAGTATAGCAATGTTCAGCAAACTGAAGGGAAATAAAACCACACAGGTCTGACATTCAGGTTTTTCTTTTCCTTCCACCGATAGAGAGAAGTGATGAAATCAAGTTATGTATGCGATTGTATGCATCATTTACTAAATGCACTGCATACATACAGGTTTTAAGTGACATCTACAATGCTACCTGATCGGTAGTGTAGGATGATTTGCCCTCTCTTCACGCTCCTTGCTTGAAAGGAACTCCCACTTGAACACCAGGTTCCAGTCAAAGCCTGCACATTTAGGTTGAGGAGAAATGTGGAACAAGCCCAATTCTAAGCAAAGCAAATGAAAGGATGTTTGCACATTGTCTACAGTGGCTGTTTCAGTACTAACAGTGATTCACCAGATTTCCCAGTGAGATGGCAAACCACACACATTCGTACTTGTTCCAATCCTGCTTAGTAATTGACAGGCTTCTGCAGCAGCTCAATAGTTACAACACTTGGCTGCAGATTCGAAAGCCACGGCTTCTATCTCGGCTATGATTGTCGCATTTAGATGGAAGCAAAATCCTAGAAGTATGTGTGCTGTGCACGTTGTTCATGCTAAAGAGCCTCGGGTGTAAGAATTACCAAGAGCCCTCCACTACAGTATAGTCTCATGGCCTAAGTTTCTTTGGAACATTAGACATGGAAACCAACCAGTCAACTTCAGCGATTGAGGCACTGCAAGTGAAGCAAATTTATAGGCTTATGTGGCCAGCAGTTAATACATGCACACTTTCTCTAATTTCTCCATGCACAAAAGGTTCGTATGAGAACTGCTTCTATGAGGACCACCAGAACGTCGCTGAGTACTAATAGTAACTGGTGAAGTTGAGGTCAGTGGACATGTGCTACAGTTTAGTGTGTCACTAGTGCAACAATTCGAATGTCAATTTAGTGGGGATGCAACAAGTATTCAGGCCAATGAATGAAAAACGGCTAGGCATTTTTTATATGAAAAAAATAATGAATTCAAGGTCAAAGCCTCGACATTCTTAATATCATTATTTTTAGAGGCCTCGCACACATTTTATCCACACTGTGAATACAATATGTGTGGTCAAGGGAGCCTAAAAGTTTAGGACTTTGTGGTATTCAGTGGTGTTTTTCTGCTAATAATGCAAACAATGTGGCTTAAGAAGAATTGATGGGCACTTTTCAAGCTACATGCATTTTAAACAGTTGTGCACGTAAAGAAAACTTCCAAAATAGGCGAGGTCATGAAGGAAGTGAGGCTTAGTATGCATGCACCCTCCTGCCTTGTATTTGTCCATGAAAAAAAAAGGTTTGAAAAGGGGCAAAGCCCTCTCAAGGTATCAAAACTTCAGCAGCCACAGTTTCCTGCTGCATTCTGTTAGTTCTAGGCATGTACTACACACTGTTAAAACGAGCCCTGCATATTGACTCTTGTTAGACCTAACCTAATGGGACCAATGAAATCATCATCATCAACCTGACTATGTCCACTGCAGGACAAACGCTTCTCCCATGTTCTGCCAGTTAACTCGGTCCTGTGCTTTCTACTGCCAATTTATATCCGCAAACTTCCTAATCTCGCCTGCCCACCTAACTTTGTCTCCCCCTAACCCACTTGCCTTCTCTGCGAATCCAGCCAGTTATTCTTAATGACCAGCGGTTATCCTGCCTACGTGCTACATGCCTGGCCCCTGTCATTTCCTCTTGATTTCAGCTATGATATCCTTAACCGCGATTTGTTCCCTAATCCACTCTGCTCTTTTATTGTCTCTTAAGGTTACACCTACCATTTTTCTTTCCGTTGCTCGCTGTGTCGTCCTCAATTTAAGCTGAACCCTCTTTGTAAGCCTCCAGGTTTCTGCTCCGTAGCTAAGTACTGGCAAGATACAGCTGTCATATACCTTCCTCTTGAGAGATAGTGGCAATCTAATGTCATAATTTTAGAGTGCTAGCCAAATGTGCTCCACCCCATTCTTATTCTACTAGTTACTTCAATCCCGTGGTTCGGCTCTGCGGTTATTACCTGCCCTAAGTAGACATAGTCTTTTACAACTTGAAGTGGACTATTACCTATCTCGAAGCGCTGCTCTCTTCCGAGGTTGTTGTACATTACTTTCGTTTTCTGCAGACTAATGAAATATGTTACGTCTAACAGTAGCTCCATTTTTACTGAGACAAACAGGGTCTCGGTATTCAGGTGTAAAACAAATCATAGGAGACGCAGTTGTTCTAATTATGTAGCAATTTCATTTTTCTGTTTATCAAGAGCCTCACAGACATATCTTGTCTGCCTCCCGCAATGGGTGGCCAGTTCGCTCTCTACACCTTTTTCTGGCGTCACCAGAAAAAAAAAAAAAAATTGAGAGACTCTAAAGCTTCGTCTTAAGTTCAGCCCAATAGCTATATTCTGTCCTTAGCGCGTGCTTCAAACACTTATTGCATGAAATGTTTTTGAACTTGCTATGCACCCACTACGTGGCCTTAAGGGGAATAGGTGTAGTAACATGCGTGCTTTTGGTAGTGGGTGACTGGCTCTAAATGATAAAGCCATGATAATGCCAACTTTTGACCCCCCATGGCCATGTGCACTTGTACCATGCATTATTACTGCAATACTTCATGTTGTATTGTGAAGCATGTATCCTGGACGCGTTTCTTTGGTAAAGCATGAAAGTTAATTTCACAGCAATTCAAAGCAGAGGAGTTGTTTTCGCTGTATTCACAAACAAACGTGTGGCCGTGTGGTAAAAGAAACATCCGCTTACCATGCAAACAACTGGTTTCGATACCCACTGGGACCCAGTTTTTTTTATTATTTATTTTATTTGCATCATTCTCGATTTTCGGTCACGCATAAAATGAAGATTTTTCAATCACAACCAACAACGCCAACGCTGGAATTTCTGTGACATGAGCTCTTTAACGTTACTGCATTAAAATGGGACTGCTACAAGCGCAAAGTGCCGCGTACCGCCACGCAGGTCAGAGGAAGCGCCGAAGTATTTGAAGGAGTTGAGGTTGATGACGTCGATGACGGGACAGACGATTCGGCGCGGGTCCTCTTTGACGCGCCTCAGCAGTGGCGGCAGCCAGCCCTGGTTGCACTCGCAGTGGCTGTCCAAGAAGGTGAGCACTGGTGCCCGGGCCTCGTGGGCGCCACGCACTCGACTGCGCACCAGGCCTGCACATTTTATTTTACAGGCAAAGTTGTTTTAGTCTACCCTGCCCGTCGTACTAGTAGGCGTCGTCCAAGTCATCCGAATGGAGAGGGGGAGTGAGTTAAAAATAATGTTCATGATGATGACTATTGATATCAAATGCCAGGAAAGTAATTCATAATTTCATTATAACATTATTTAGAGACCTAAACTTATTTGTAATAAACCAAGTTGAGGCAGAAGTAACTCATGCTTTCACTATAGACACATAATTGTGATAAGGCAAGGCAGCTGGGAATGTAAGAAGGTCGCGCGTGGATAATGGGCAACACACACTCGGCATCCATACGTGCACGTCATGCTCTCAATCTCTTGGTGCGCGCCCACGAAAGGAAGAGGAAGCAGGCGTTCATATTGAAATTTGACCCATTTTCGCGGTGCATGGCATTGCAAATTTTGGTTTTGGCAGACGTGATCATAAACGTTCCACTTACGCATTGCACTTGTCAGTTCAAAATTGCCAAACCTCGTGAGTGGCCCTTTGATTTATATTGCCTCATGATTTCACATCACTCATAACATTGAAAATGCTCTGTCAATCAGTTAAGTAAACAGTTCACTCATTAAATATTGCTAATTAGTAAATTCTGCAATTGCGCATTGCAAGCAGCATTAGCCTTCTGAAGAAAACCAGCAATGGTTATAAAGTTGAGATATGTTTCATGTGAGATACATAAGGACCGCTGTCAATAAGACAGATATACCAGTGTACTGTATGCTTGTGCATACACTTAATGCTTGTGAATTAACTGGTATTTAGTGTGCAAATACGCACGCAAAACTCATGCTAGTTATGCTTGACGAAGTTAGCTTGTGAAACACAGCAAATACATATTTTCTTACCTTCTCTTTTATTGTTTCGGACCAAGCGCACTTTCTGTATAGCTGCCAATTCTTTGCCATCCGATGCTGTGAGGGGTGCAAGAAAAACACTGGTCAGTACTTAAGATTTACAAATAAATAACAATATTAAATGTGGAACTACTTACGGTCATCGCTGAAGTCATCTACAAGAATAATCTCTTCAATCAGCTCCGGAGGGCTTCGATTGAGAACACTGAAAATGATAGAAGGAGTAGCCGGGTTAGACATGCTTGCCATCTGTGATGGCCATGCTGAGTCAACAATCGGTGCACGTTACATTGTGATAAAAAATTTGCGAGAGCACTTCAACTTTGTTGACAGTCAACTAATTACAATGGCTACAGTCAATATGACTTCACAAACAACTGATCCTGGTGATGAAAACATACATGCAAAGCGCTGTACTGACAAGAGATCAAAAATGAGAAGCAAGAGAACTGGTACTGAACTGATGCATGGTAGTGATGCATAGTACTTATTTTAAAATACTGATGTGCCTAAAATGCATCGTTCACTTTTGATGTACGGCAGTTTTTCAAAGTTGCCTCTTGTCATAATATGCACTGGCAACAAGTGAATAAAAAACATAACACTAATTTCTCGCTGGACCCACATTAAAGTTTACGACCTATCGACATCTGCTGGCACTGTTTTCATCAATCTGGTAACAAACAGTTAAGTGACAGCATTGGTACAGTAGACATATTGCACTTATTAACCAATCAGATTATAGCATTTGATATTCTCTTTAGTAAAACATATAGTACACATAAAGAATTGCAGATTCTAATATTTGTTAGTACACAATATGCAAGTTTTGACATTTTTCTATAAATTTGCTAGAAACACTGCTTTTGTTCCAACTGTAACTGAACTGGCTAATAATTTGATAGAGCTATCTCTTGACAAGATTTACTAAGCATACTGAAATTTATGTAAATGTAAAATTATGTCCACACAGTGCATCCCGTTACTACTCGTGAAATTGACATCCAAATTGCATCAAGCATACAGGTATCGATATCACTGAACAGAACGTGTGTAAAAGAGGCCGCGCCAGCTGTCAATATAAAGCTGATGCCTTGAAACAATGCACATGACACGACAAAAGAACGACGTGTTGCATGTATTAAGAAAGCTGGAACTGTAGTGTCCTTCCAAAGCATGTTCAAGCTTGGACCAAATGACTATTTCAATTGATGAGAAAGACAGAATACTCGAAAGATCTGAATGTGGAGTAATATGAAGACCTGAATGAAGAGCAATATGAAGATCTGAATGAAGAGTAACAAAGAGAATCTTAAGTAACAGAGTAACAAGGAGTAATATTCTATAAAATCTGGAGAAGATATGCTTAATCCAGAGTAGCATTTTATTAGGAATACTGTGATAAATCTTATATTTGAAGACATTAAAGCATCGCATTTACATCCTTGACATTTTCACATGTTGTAACAATGTTGCAAAGAAACACTATTATCTTCTCCTTATCTGATGTTCAACATAAGCAATCATTAGTTACACATTATGTCAACAAGGAACATTTAAGATTTGCTTCATTTTATCTGATAGGCTGTTATATTGTTAACTTGTATCTGTGTTAATCATATGGAGTTCTCACTGTTTAAATAGTAATGATGTGGAAAAGATTGTGAATAATAGGTACCTAACTCAACCAATGCGCCATCAGTTATGATCAGGCACGATCCAATTTCTCACCCGTAATGGACTACATAACACAAGCTGCAGAGTGAAGCAATCTAGGTCAGAAAATTCTATGCCAACCAGGCCTGATGATAAATAAAGGCCCACTGAGTGAGTGGAACACTGCTTGCATTCCGTAGCCCATTGCACAACGTAGCTGTCGTTATTGCCTACCCATCATCGTCATCAGCCTATCTTATGTAGATGGTTTGCCACGTCTAAGGCTAACTACCTCACTAATATTCAAGCCAGTAAAACTAGTTTTTCTTTGACTCAACGAGAGGAAAGTACTGTATGGCACCTAATTATGGTATTGACAAGCACAATCATTTTTCCAATTGTATTAAATATCAGCTTCTATGAGCACTTGAGTATTAACAAGGTGTTTAAGTTAGATGTGAACAACCCTGCACACCGCAGGACAAATACCTTTTACAATATCAATTATTCCCAACCTATGTTGCCCTGTGTGAGCCTATTCCATTTTATGCCTTAAATTTCTCTACTTGGTTGATTCACCAAAGCCTTTGCCATCGTCAGCAATGCCTCCAATCTTGCGGTGTCTATTCTGACACTCTGAGTGACCACAAATTATTTTTGCTTCATCTGACTTGATCTACTAGGCGAAATCGGAGGGTTGGCAAACCTGCATGTAGCAATAAGGAAGTTACAGAATGAGGAAGTTACATGCAACAGCACCTGTTATGTGTAACTTCCTTCTTGTGTAGGAAGTAAATATATATCTAGGCAAAACAATCACAGAAAACTGTGAAGAAATGGGAAAATGGCTGGAATGCTTTACTATTTCATTCGATTGTTTGTTTGGCTGGATATATATATTTACTTGATGCGATGCATCAACTAGCCAAACAACGCTTCATAACTGGAACGCCTTCTTCGCCCCTTTTCTTTCTGTGTTATTCACCGATTCACCACAATCTACTAGGATAGTAGCTACACCCATTAAGCACCATGCAAAATGTATGGAGTGCCGTTTCACACCTGAACCACTTCGACAATTACATATACTTCTAATATTAACGCCTTGTTCTCCAGCCACCAACTAAATGAGCTTTGTATCACTGGGTCTTGCCTGACGATGGTGCGGAGGAGTGCCGAGCGGGCTTCGTTGTGAAATGTGATGATGACGCTTGTCGGGGGCAGCTTCTCTCCCGGCTGCAAGCTGCCTTCGGGTATGCACTGAGGATGCCTGGTGTCTGGGATGGCACGATTGCTGGGCAGCGCGTCGCTCGCCTCCTGGTTGAACTTGTGCCGTTCGTACGGGTCCACTCCCGGCTTTACCCGAGACACCACCACGTAACCATTCTCGTCGAAGTAGCGCCACGACAGCTGCCTGCTCGAGTTTGGCAGCTGTGAGGAAGACTGGCGGAGGGCAGCTGCTGCAGACGGCTTCAGGCGGAGCGCCTCGTTGCTGTCTTCAGACTGCAACAGTACACTGTCACTGTCAGGCACTTGCACCCCTCTCGCATACGTGTACCCTAAACTTGAAAAGTGTTAATGCTGGCGTGTTGGCACATACCGAAACTTGATAACAGTGCTAGGATGCGACACATAAGCGACAAGACGGGGTGCTCACTATCAATGAGTTTATTGCAGCGAAGTGGAATACAGTTGAAACCCTTTGTAGTAGACACCGATTAATGAGACAGTTGTGTGTAAGAGACAGCAGAGTGCCTATGTAAAAATAGCCCCAACATAATTAAACCAACCGATAATGAAGTGAATGAAGGCATAGGAGGCATTATTTGTAGCTTTTAAGTAATTATGATGTAAATAGACAGAAATTAAAGTGCATGAAAAATCAACCTGTAGGGACCGAACATACATTCTTCAAATAACATATCATGGCAATGTCATGACTACAGGTGGTCATTGCTGTCGTGGATGCAAGTGGCTCTGATTAATGGTCCCAGCATTGCACACAGAAATAGTCAATAAATTGGATGGGAAATTGACCGCTGCCCAAGCTCAATCTATAGAGCACCAGACGCGTTATCCGTAAACTTTAGGCAAGGTCCCTAACAGCGGCGAATTGGTTTTTCGTCCACTTTAACTTGTTTCCGTTTATGTCATGATTTTTTTTTTTAAATGCAAATGATGTTTCTATGCTTCTACTGGCTTCGTTGCTTGTTGATTTAAAAACGTTAAGTCTAACAAAGAATGAACCCTTGATTCATTCCTTCTTTAATTCTTGCATAGAAATAATCGTTGATAATAAAATTAACAGAGAAATGGGTGTTGATAATAAAATTAGCATAAAAATAGGGGTTGATAATAAAATTGAAAAAAAAAAAGACGCCAGGCCCGCACAGAAAGTGCAGCAGTTGCAGCAAAAGCTGGAAGAGGGGCCTTTCTAAAGCCCCTTCGTAGACTATCCTGGGGCAAATAATAGAAGTACGCTTGCAAGGCACCTACTGGACATAAATTGGTGTGGTGGCTGATGACAATGAAAAGAATTATGGATGAGCCCTTTGTGATGGGTTGGAAGCATTCAACGACCAAATCCCTGCACAGTTATTCTTGCGTGGGGTCAGGTTACCGAATTCACATTGTGGTGACACCTGGTTGTTATTTTATTTACTCTTCTACCTTAGCATGTTAACTCTTCACATATTAGCACATGTTTACTTTTCACATGTTAAGGTGGGTTTGATATAATGTCAGTATAGTGTGTTTTTGCAATGGGGTTCTGAGTACTGGCATGGCTCTGTGCTAGAATACTGGGCTGCCACAGGGAGGACCCAGGTTCGAACCCCATTCCATCCTAGATATTTTTATTATTTTTTAATTTCAAAAATATTGATTATGGACACTGGTGGCGGAAATCCATGGCAGCCTTGTTGTGATCTCATAGCAACTTCTGCTGTAACATGGTACCTTACTTATCAGAAATGCCTTCATATAGGCGACAAGATAGGCTTCATATAGGCACATATCTTATAAAGGAGTACAACTGTACATACCCTCAGATAAAACACAAGAAACAAGAACTAGATTCAAGAACTAGAATAACACATGGGTGTTGCTTGCAGTCGGCGAGTCAGCATATCCAAGCTCTACTTTTCAGCAAGGCTATGAAAGCCATGCTTATGGTTAAGTCACTGTGTGTGGATTACATGGGCTTCAAATATTCGTCTGGTCCTTGCATCTTTTTTTCTTTTTCAAAGCCCTTGTCTAATTAAAGTATGGTGTGCGACTACACTTTGCACAATGCAAAGCGAGATTACTTGCGACAGTAGTATTTAACGGTGCACTACAGGTAAATAATAAGCTGACGATGGACTGTTGAAGTAGTGTTCCAGAAACCTCATCGTGCTTGTTTCATGACAAGTAAATGTTTATGTTTCAAAAGAAAATCCCATTCTGGCGACCTGCATACCGCTTGTGCAATTCAAACCACCCGCCTCCGAAAACGTCCTCCTGACACAGCCTTGCCAACTTTTTGTTCGTTTACTGCTCGACATCTGGCACAACTTGGCAGGAAGCCTTAGCAGCGCACAGCTTGGCGAAAATGAAATAGGAGTATTGTCAAGAAGTTCTCTTTGCATGACTCAGGGTGAAATGCATTAGTTAAACTTCATGCCACCTTTTGATGCAATGAAATATTCTTTTCTGTCGCAGGTTGTTTGAGTGCTCGAGAATATTTGTACTGAGGCCCTATTACTCATCGGGCACTTGTTCCAGAATGTCCCACTGGCGGTGCAAATCGTGTCCCACATTTACCATAATTTATCGATTACTGCTCCATATAATACGTTTCTACGTTCTCAAGCGCCAACCTTTTACTCTGACATAAATTGCCGTTTGCCTTTAGTGTCCCTTTAAAGAACTGAAGGGCTCTTACTTCTGTTTCCTTTTGAAGTTCAGGAAGTTTCCCAAATTTTTCTGTAGTCTCACTGATAGTGTTACAAAACTGAGGGTCACATGAAAGACCACCGACCTTGGCGCCCTATTCTGCACAATTTCTTTTTACGTAAACGTTTTGCAAGCTTACATAAGACTGAGTGTGCGATTTTAGATAGCTTTTGCATTAAATAAGAGTGTAAAAGCTTTTAGAAGGCTTTCCCGCAAGTCTTTACATAGCCTCCAAATCACATGGCAATTTTTACACCCTGTCACAAACTTCACCGAAACTTGTTTAACCACTTGAATCATAACACACAGCAGGAATCATAACACACAGTGTGATGAACATGACCACTTTCCTTTTAATCCGCTTCAGCAAGCGGTTATTATTGAGTATGCAGTTATACTGCCAGTCAATACTATATAACTGAATCGGCGATCGTTATGCTGAGCAAATATTTACAAGGCACAATGGGTCACACAAAATCGAATGTTGTACGAGTACTCTATATGTGTCTCGGGCGCATGCGATGTGTGTTAATTAGAGCATTCAGGCAATTCGAGATGTCGTGCGTCAGCAAACAGATCTACAAGGTAAGCAAGCGGCAAGGCTGCCGCTGCAGGCTTCTTTGTAAGCAGAATGCGAACGGCTATGCTATTCATGCACGCATTTAAACAACAAACACAAGTACGTACCGTGCTGCGACGGCCGCTCCAAAAAAGGTAATAACCCACACCTCCAACCCAAGTGATCGCAAACAGTAAAATCCATTTCAGCTTCCGTTTTGGCATCGCGCACTTTCACAACATGCACGGCGTCGACAAAGCACCATCAACTGTCGTGGGTTCGGGAACTTCGCACGTACATGACACGCTAAGATGTCAACATGGGAAGCGCAATGAGTCAACTGTTGTTCTTTCGCAGCTTTTCACCGGGCGGAAGTTTCAGGAACATGATCGGCACTTGCTCAACGGGCATCTAAGTGTTGGACGAGTAGTTTAGTTCTCAACTACTGTCCAGCGAGCGTGATGCGCTCCAATCCATAGACGACGGCACTTGCAGGGGCGATCGCACCTTCACAAACGTTGCGATGACGCGCATTCTACGCCCACGCGATTCAGCCGAAGTCCAGCACACGAGAAAACCACGCTGTCGCGCCGATACTTCATGGTTTACACTCCGTTAGCACAAGCCTCTTACTACAGCGAAGTGAACTTCGCGAGCCACCCATCGACACCAGTCACCGCATCAGTTTTCTAGCAGACAGCTCTTTGTAACACTCCGCGGGTGCCTTGACCAGCGCCTCTCTATTAAGATGCCTGCCGCAAAAGAACGAAAACAGCTGCCACACCCTTTCTTTTCTTCAATTTTGAATAGTGTTGGTTTTTAGCGCCACTTGTGGCGCACGGTGCAACAACTTGTTGTTTCACATAGCCTCCGAAATGGTCGTGTATAGTTGGAGACAAAGTTAATATACTGTATAGTCTGTATATTAACTCTATGGTTGCAGACATGGAGGAATGAGAGCTCCTCATAGTTACACATCTCTAGACCGATTGACGCCTCACTGACGCGACTCTATGGGCTTCAAGTGAAAAACCGCCGTGATAATAATGCCGGTCGCGAGCGCTACTGCACGGCGCTTGCTCAAAACTGAAGGCAGGGTGACTCCGCTGGCAACACAAGCCATTCGTCAGGCATCTTAATAAAGAAGGCGTTGCCTCTACCAACGCCTTCTTTATCAAGATGCCTGACGAATGGCTTGTGTTGTCAGCGGAGTCACCCTGCCTTCTTTTTTTGAACAAGCGCCGTGCAGTGGCGCTCGCGACCAATACTGTCATCACCAACGTTTCTAAAATTAGTTGTTGTAGTAGTTCTAGAAACGTTTATCATCACGGCGTTTTTTACTTGTGGCCCATAATGGCGCGTCAGTCGAAAGTTAGAAATCTGCAACTATGAGAAGCTCTCCTTTTTTCATATCTGCAACTATACACGATTATTTCGGAGGCTATGCAAAATATTGAGTTGTTGCACCATCCGCCACAAGTGGCGCTAAAGACCGACACTAATCGAAAATAATAGAGAGAAAGGATGCGGCGGCTGTTTTTGTTTTATGCGGCAGGCATCTAAATAAAGGAGGCGCCGCTTCGACCTATGCGGGACGTATGATCCGTTTCCGCTTCTTAACGATAATGACGGGGCGATTGTCAACGAAAACTGGACGCAGATATGAAGCATTTGCCTTGCACTGACAGTTGTATTGTCCCACCTTACACGTAGTGCTTGAGCGATGCTGAAGAAAGGCACGAACGTGCATCACCCTTTCTTAGCGCGCACTCGTTTGTCGAGCGTGGGCACGTAGGTCTAATTTAAATACTGATAAAGGTGGTCGCTGTCTTGTCCCCGGTAGAGTTTAGTGGTTCACTCGTGGTTCTCGCAGAACCGTAGCGATAAGATCAGGGATAAAATGAAGTTGCGTAACGTAACAGCGCCGTCTCGCAACTAGGTATGCACAGTCCGGAAATGCTGAGACCTTGAAGTTAAGAGTCAAACCGTAGTCGCACTACGTGCCTGCCTCGGGGCGTTTTGGCGTCCTTCGTGTCGTGCGGTGCCGGTGTCGCGCACACCCGCTGCATTGAAAGCTTGGCTCGCTGTGTAGTGTCGGACGCAACAGGTATACATGAGCTGTTTAAAAACTCGGCATACCGCTTCTCAAATACGGAAAGGCCCCGAACCGGTTGCCTTTTATCGGCGAAGGGAATGAATGATTGACCGAGTAATGCGCGCTAAGCGTTGTTCTGGCGCGAATCCAGGGCTGCCTACGAATGCGCTCAAGTGGTTTAGGTGTTTTTCATTTATCTTCGATTGTAAGTAATGGTTGGTAGTGGACGTATGATTTGCGGACTCATTTTCAATCACGATCGAGCCCGATGCGTATCGGGTTTCTCGATCGCGATTGGCTCCTTTCTGCCGTTTGCAGCCAATCAGCCAATCGCAATTGTAAGTGCTCCTTGTGATGTGGGGTTTAACGTCAAAAAAAAAAAAAGAACAACAACAACAACGTCGTTATCACGCAGGGTTGTGAAAAATACGTGGGTCCATACAGCTGTCCCATGCTCCTCGCTCGAGGCAACGGCAAGTTAATTTGTCTTTTCAGAAAGTGAAACCTTCCAAGGATGGCGTCCAAGCGTAACCTTAAAGGAACAACGCCGGGGAAGAAACCAGAGGAAAAGAGATACAGCCAGTTTCCAAGGGACTCCATTAGCTTGTTCGCAGAATCTAATGGAATAACCGGCGTTTCGGACCAAGCCCTTAGCCTCCTCACTGAAGATGTTAATTATAGACTTCGCGAGCTAGCCCAGGTAAGCTAATTATGTCAGCATACCTACTTTACTGAGACGTTTGGACCAATTTTCTGCTTTGTTAGGGCTGTAATTTTAGGTCACAGACCTTTGACTGACGTAACTCAATTTTCTTTGAATATATTTGTTTTTTTAAGCTGTTTTATAAGTGAAGTATGTAAATTTTGACAGTAAAACTTGCAGACCATTGTGAAGTGGTTGTCATGCGCTCCTTCGTGTTTGCATAACTTTGTTGTGTTTGATTCATAGTTCGAACTGTTAATGATAATCTATTCTTTAACATAGAGCAATCACAATATCAACAAAAAATACAGTAATGAATAAGAACGAAAGCTATCCAGATCTTTATATGCAGCATAGTTTTCTTCGGTCTGTAATAGGTCCATGAAAATTGTCTTCCAGCCGTTCAATTTTCATACTTAATAGTTGCAGCATACCCACATGGCATTTTCCTGCACGCATGCATTATGTTCATACTGTAGCATATATGTCATAATGATGTGTACTTAGGTACTGAAATAAAAAGTGAATCAAAACTTCACAGTTTGTTGTCATTAACCAACCAAAAAAAAATGCATTAGTGCCTGCTGAACCTTGAGAAGCACTTCATTGCCTTGTGGGCTCTTTTCAAATGTTCTCATTAGTGTTATATTGTGCTTCTCAGCTGCAAAATGTCTGAGGTTTCATTTCTTGTTGTATTAATAAATAACGTCAGGTAAATTCCTACTTCTAGAGTTGAAGTAATTTTTGCTAATTAAATTGCAAAGTTTGAATTGTTAAGAAGGTAAGTCAATATGGCCCGGATCATAATCATATTGAAATAGTTCTCTAAAACAACATGAATACACACAGAATAATGCAAGGCACACATTGTATCCTATTTAAAATCATTTTAGAAGAGTTCTTGAATGGTGAACAACAGTTTGTTCAATAAATGTCAAATGTTCAAATTTTGCCACATTCAAACTGTTAGCAAGTTTTTTTTTTCAATTACATTGTGTACCATGAAGTGTCCACTCTTTGAAACAATTGTCAACAACAAATCGTCAACACGAAAGAAGCATGTACGCATCCAGAAATAATTTCAGTGTGTGCTAGTTCATGTTTTATGTATGTATATATATGTATATATAATATACACTGTGCTTTACATGAATGAAAATTTATTTCTTTACCACTCTTTTCTGTTTTTTTTTAAAACTTATTATACATTAGGAGTACTTGAACAATGTTTTGGAAATATTTCTTCTTACCATTTTACACTAAGTTAAAAATCACATTAAATAGATGCATTTTTTGAAGGTTTGAAATACTGTAATACTGCTTCCAAAATAATATTGTTGATGTATTAACCCTTTAAAGGTTATATTGTTATTATTAAACAAATATTGCTGTAGGGTATACCAGAGTGATTTATGTACTTTAATCAATTTACTGAGACATTTTTTTCATAAGAAACTAAGCTGGTTGGCATTCCTATATAACTATGAAAGAATCGAGACGCCTATATAATTTGGCTACAAGTGCCTGGCCATCACTTGGTTTGTTTTATGGAAAGAAAAAAAAGGGGGGGGGGGAACTTGTGGAACCATTTCATAGTGGAAGTTTTCAACGTAGTCAGTATCCCTGACGTCAGATGTCGGCACATTTTGAATATCCATCCTTGAAGAATGTCTTATCATCAAGATAGATGAAAATACATGCGCTTAAAGCTCTTTCACAAAATTTTCATTGGAGCAACAAACCTAAGGAAGAAAACGTATATCCTTGATCCTGTTTACAGCTCAGCCTGTCGCAATCATTCTTTAATGGTCAGAAATATAGCTGCCGCATTGACGTTATAATCATTAATTTTTTTCCAAGAACATGCCAGGAGGCTGCTTTGTCGCCAATCAGTTCATTTGACTGTGCCCTTGCTGAATTCTCGTCTCAATAGGTATCGGGTCACCTCTATACCGCAATCTACATTTTTTAGCTTTTTGTAGTTATACTGTAACATACTCTTCTTGGTTTGCCGTAATATATTTTTTGAGTGATCTGTTCAGAATGTACATTTGTCATGTCATCTGTAATCAACGTATTGTTGATCTTGTCATGTTACCTCTTGATGTTGTATACCACCTGTAATGTATTCTTTTTGTTTTCTCCCCTTACAATGATGCCCATTCGGTGCCGTAGGTATCTGAATAAATAAATAAATAAAACATTGTTCTGTGTGACAGCTGTCTTCCTGTTTGTCGTTTGCAGAACTGTGGCCAGTGCATGCGGCACGCTAAAAGGCGCAAGCTAACTTGCAATGATGTGGAGCGGGCTCTACGCTGGAGTGATTCACAGGTAAACTAGGCAAAATGATGTTGGTAGACATTAATGTTTGCCTGTGTTTTGGAAAGGGTTATCCCTTTTAATTCACTTCTTAAACAATACCTCAGATATACTTAAGCTTGTGAGTGCATAATAGATAAGTGCCCATTTGTTCAACAGATCACATACCTTTAAACAATAAGTTCATCATATACAGCTGCAAAGTATGTGCCACTGCAACATTATAGTTCTTTCAATCATCATTCTTTTGTCAAAGATGCTGTTTACACATGGTACACAGAGCTTATAAAAAAATATTTGTTGACATGTCCAGCATTATAACCATTATGTACAGCATTTACATACAGCCTAACAACCTTGGAATTGTTTTCGATAAATGCTGCTTTTGCCTAATATGTAAATATATTTATTAATATTGATTTTTCTTCCAAGGATCCACATTTGGTCAGTCTGTGGTCGTCTCTGTTACTGCAAAAAACTAGACTGCAGTTCTGGTTGAGTTGTCTGTGGGCTCAATAAAGATTATAGTTGATGAGTTACCACAGCTCTTGATAACTTACATATAATAACAAACTGCAATAACATGCTATGAAGAAGAAACTCCAAATGCACATTACTGACTAAATTAAATTTTATTTAATGTTTTATGCAACAATTTTTAGGAAACAGCTTTATTTGCTAGAAAATTCCTCATGGGTGGACTTTGTTTTATTCCAGTCTCTATAATCGTTTTAAAAGTCATTGCCGTCCGTATTATCTTTGCTTTTGAATTACTGCCATTTTTACATGAAACTTCCCTCCCCGCAGCCCTCTTATGGATGCAGTGGAGATGATCCGCTTCCGTTTCGGCACATCCGAGAGGCTGATGTCTTCTGCACAGATGACAGCATGGTGGACTTGGCTGACGAGTTGGACTCGCCCCTTCAACTTGACCTGCCACCGGAGCCAAGTGTCCATGGTGTGCACTGCCTTATATTTCCATGCAGTGCACTGAAACCTCAATATAATGAAATATTGCTTATTACGAATCAAACAAAAAATAGTCTTGCAATCGATATAGTGCTAGGAATATACCTTTATAGTGAATTTTTGGATATAACAAACTTATTTTTATGCAAGATGCAACTTTGTTATAATGAGGTTCGAGTGTAGTGATGGTGAATAAGCAAATGCAGGCAGTCCTAGATGGGCAGACTTGTGCACAATGAAAGAGAGACTTGAGGTAAAAGCAGCGCTTACTGTACAATGATAACTGCGAGCATGGATGTCAGGCGTCGGTATCTAATCATTGGCAAAATGCGTTGTCTTTCATACATCAGTGATCGAGCCTTTCAGTGTTGTCATTGGTGCTTACGTAAACTCCTGAATACACTCGACTATTCACATCCTTCGTGGGATCTTAACAGAACAGTCAGAAACAGGTGGCGTACTGTGCAACCATGAAGGAAGAAAGCTGAAGCAAAAAAAGACAGGAAAAAGTGCATTTTGAAACAATCGTAAGACTTCCCAAACATTGCGGCACAACCTATGCTAAGAGCTCTTAGCACTGCTCGGCATAGGTTGTATACAAGCAATATTTCTTACTTTTCTGTGTTCATATACGTATTGCTATTTGATGTTTGTGTGTGGTCCTCTTATGTCTGTGTGTTACCCTTTTGCATTTTTGTCTCACTCTCTTATGTTTATGTGTTGCTCTTTCATGTTCATGTGTCAACACTACTTTTTCAGCAGTAAAAGCTGTTAGTGTAGTTAGATGAAGCACAGCAATATGTGCACAAAATTCCAGTAGAAAATTTTTTTCAGTATATTGTGCCCTCAAAGGGATTAGAAGAGCAGGTTGGTTGCAATGCACTGGCTTAACTGAGACGAATATTGTGTGCGATTCGCATCACAGGAATCCAGGAAAAATTAGAAAACTTCACAACTCATTCATTCACTATAGTTTCATTCCAACCGCAGTCAAACACAGAAGTTTATAAACCACAGCTCTTAGAAAAGGCCAGATGTTTCCACAGTCTTGTATAGTGGATTTAGGCTTTCTACAAGTGCATGCCATATCCGCAGTGTTATGTGGTTTTCCAGTCCACAGTCACAAAATCGGTTTTTGTGGGTCTCTCACTTAATAGAAAAAACGAAAGAACTGCGTCTAAACGGACGGGACAAAAGTAGGTATGAGGCAACACAAGCGCTGACTCTCAACTGGTGATGTGTGGCTGATGCATGACTCCTTTTTGAATGTAGAAGGCATCCATGACTTCCCTGTTGTCTGGTCACTGTGTCTGAAGAGCACCGCTGTATCTCTGAACAGAGGCATGCACCCACACCTGTGGCAGTGTGAAGGCAGTTTGGCATACGTGCAAGTCATAATGGATGCAGAGTGTTCTTTTAGCTGTACATTGAGGCGGCGCCCCCTTTAGACCTACCTCTGCCCATTTTCGTGGGAGGCTACGCAACTTCTGTGACTGAATGTGCACCTAGATGAACTAGAGCCCCCGATCTATTTCCTCAACGTAGTGTTTTTCAATAAAGCTAGCGGAAATGAGAGACGAAGCTCTCAAATTGTCCTAATTTATCATGCCCCTAACCCCAACAAAACCGCAGTAATCTTCAAACTGCATTGATATCTCAGCATGCATAGCTCACTACACAGTAGTTCCCATTTCATGATATAATTATACCCACAAGTCATACAGAAATACCACAGGATTACTGAAAAAATCTACATTATTTTTATCCCTACAATGAATATTGTTATTGTGCGCGGTTGTTTTCGGAACTACTGGCAAGATGGCGACAGTGGAACTACCACCTTCAGTGCAAAAAGCATAAGTGTGTGCACTTGTACCAAGTTTGTGGGTGCTGTACTGTTAGAAAATAAAATTTTCTCCCAATCATAATATTCTTTATGTTGTCTGCACATAGGCATGGCCCAGGCTATTTAGCTGAAACATTGGTTGTGATTCTGGTTGCAAGGCTGGTGAAGTATGCTGTTATTTTGTGTGTGTGTGTTGTTGCAATGAAGTTGTTTCATGGCGAATCCACCTGGGAGCGCAGGAGCACTCAAAAGCATGCTGAAAGGGCTCTCTTCGGAGCCGATGTGTTTGAGTAGTCGAACAGGAGTAAGAATGTCGTCATTCATTGGTCGAGCGAGAGTGCTTTTGCTGCGCCGAGAGCAGCCAGGAGCAGCTTGCAGTGCTCTCGCCTGAAAAGTGGAGTAGGCGTAGTCAACGAGAGTCGCATCACCTTTGAACGCCACGGTCACCCTCTCATCTGCTCTCCAGGAGCGTGCCACATTCCAATGGCAGATGGAGTGGCCCTGCTTTCAGTGCTATGCCCCCCACTTCTCCCTGCACTATTCCTCTACTCTTGTTCTCTCAATGGAATTTGCCATTAGTCCGCCCTTGAGTCTTCGTTGTCATCATCGGTGCATTAGTAGTAGCAGGTCATGCGAATTAAATGAATGAAGCGAAATGATTGTGATTATGTTGATGGTGATGATAGTCTGAAATTATAATGGCAGTGATGCTTGAAGTCATAACAATGATGGTGGTTTTTTGTACAAAAAACTGCGAAAGCATTGTATGCTATTTTCTGCGCTGTAGCTTAAAAAAGTGATTGGTTTGTGACACCACATGATCTCGCTAACAAATTCGCAACACTTGCACTCTTAGAGCTTTGCTGTCAAACACCTTTCACCAGTGTCAAACTGGCTGAATTTTTTTTTTCCAAGTTTGTTTCTTCGGGAAGCTTGTTTGACTTGCAATTCATTTTCTCAGTGAGCCAGGACGTTGGCTGGTTGTGGAAGGTGTGGCAGTTGAACCAGACCTCAACCAGCCTGGTGGTGCAGTCCAAGGAACGGATGGCAGCAAAGCTATTCACACGGACGTCAATGTCACCCACATGCAGTACTACGAGGAAATCACCAAGGCACTGCTGGGCAGCGACAAGCAGCTTGTCGATGTGAGTGAGTGACGCGGCTGACGTCTGAGATCAAGTATCGGCTTTCTTTGTTTGTTTCTGTGTTATATTTGATTGCCACACAGAATGCCATGGTTGATTCCAGCTCAAAGCCTGTTTTAGATGCGAAGCAGCTTAAGGTCGAACTTAATCCGGTGTGCGGCGTGACCACCCCTAATGCGCGTGCGCGCCCACTCCCCCTGTCTCGCCTCGCGACGCCGACACGGGAAGTGTCTGCTAACCTACGCTCGCTCCCCCCATCTCCCTCCTCAAGGCATTTCTTCCTGCGGCATTTACACTGCCATTGCGCATTTACGTCCCCTCTCTCTCATCTTTATGCTCACTTTCTCTCGCATCCGTAATGCCAGTGCAGGCAGCGTCTGCTAGCGAGTTTTTTCTTGATTGAAAAAACTGACTGCTCGCGCTGCACAACTGTCCACTGGCCACCTCATATATATAGGCACTGGATCTTGACCTTCAAGGTAGTGCCTATGGGAGATTTCTCCTGTGCAGTTGTTGAACAATAAAAATCTGCAGCGTGCGCGTTACCTAAAAGCAGAGTGCGGGTCTCTATGTCCAATCGGAGTCTTCTGTGCGTCTCTCATTGCCCATTATCAGTAAATGGCACTGCTGTAGTAGGAAACACTGTTATCGCAGCGCGCTTTGTGACTCCCCAGGTTTATCTCCTGCACAACGTCGCGATGAGCGCTAGCGTCACTGTCATCGCTAGTGCAAGCGTAGCGTCTGCTGTTTTGAATCTACATGTTGTTCCCTACTGCGGGTGTAATTTTTTTTTCTTTTGCATTGTGCACGATACTGACAATGAACACCGGTGGTAGCAGTGGCAGCGAGCATCGTTGCCAGAATTGGGTGGTAAGAACTCGGGACCAATTACACCCCAAAAAATTAACTCTTAAATGAACCTGCTGGGAATTTTCATTAGCAAACCATGTACCGTTGAATGTTCTGTATGTATGGCAATTATGTAAAGAAAGGACCTGAATGTACGCTCAAACCTCAATATAAAGCATTTGGATATGACAAATTATCGGTGATAACAAAGTGAATGACCAATAGCTTTACCATAAATTTAGTATTACAAATAATTGTTTGTAATGAATTTTTATTACAACAAAGTATTTTCATGGCGGATGTGACTGTTATGAGGTCTGAGTGTATGTGAATTTATTCATTAAATTAATTTGCCCTCATGTATTATTAGGTGTCTTATTTATGACTTTCCCGTTTTGGACAGGTTGCCTTGGAAGATCTGGCCACTAACTCCTGTCTGAGCCCACTGCTGCCATATTTGGTGCACTTTGTCTCGCTTGGGGTGAGAGCAGATGATCTTCAGCTTATTATGTTTATAGAACTCACAGTCACAGGTTGCTAGCATTTAAAAAGAATGCAATGCAGCTATCTTCAGTGTACAGAATAACTTTTCCTTGACTTCAGCGTTCACAACAATAGCAGCACATCACCGCTCACACTTTTAGAAAGAACTGATCTGACTCGCACTGCTCTGTCATAGGCTTAGCTTAGCCTAACCTAACCCAACCTTCCTCCTCGAACTGGCTACAAAATGCTGGCAATGACACTGTACTTTACTATTCTAATTAAAGGCTGTTTGCAATTTGGTTTCGCTTTCATTTTTACATGTGGGAATTTTTGTATGCACTTGTTTGTTTAGACAGGTTCGATTTATTTAAGTTGTGAACCAATACTGGTTCTCACCTCCTCTAATTATATCCTTAGTTGTAGTATAATCTACAATTAAGGATATAATTAGGTTATAATATATAATTCATTTATAATATATAATTAACTATAATATATAATCTAAATATAACATAATCTACTTTCCTTGAAAAAGTGCAGAGTTGTGTCGTGGACTTATTTAGGCAGTCTGTACCTCTATTTTGAGGCAATACTGAGCATCACAGCCTGTATTCTCGGTTTTTCAATTATGCGCACTCAAGTTATACGACTGTTTTACATCATCATCATCATCATCATCATCAGCCTGACTACGTCCACTGCAGGACAAAGGCCTCTCCCATGTTCCGCCAGTGTTTTGTTCCGACTGTTTTACATAGCCTCCTCAAAATCGTAAAATCTGGGTTTATCTCTATATTGTTGTTCTTCTTTGCATTTTTCTATAGGCTTTAACAAAAGTGGATTCAGTTCAATAGAAGTGTTTGGTTCTTCACTAATTAGTGCAAACATTTGGTAAAGTGGCATTAGTATGTGTACCTCTGGGTTGTAACTCTCATTGCCTTGCTACTTTAGTGGCATTTTTTTTTTCACACACCCATGTGGTATGAGTTCACAGATGATTGGCAGGATGCGGGCTGTTGTTGCAGGTTCGCAAGCTTAGTCACGACCTTGCCAGCCTGGACCGGTTACTGCATGCCATTGGCGCCTTGGCCCAGAACACCTCGCTGAATTTGGATACCCTACCCTATGTAAGTTTAATTGAAACGTTGTGCAAAGGCTTTGTTGCAGTAGACAGAAAGTCTTCAAGACTGTATAAGTAGCTGCTTCACTTTCCGTAGGTTCTAAACTGTGCTTTTGTCTGTACATATATTTCTCGAGCGAACTTTCTACATTGAGCACCGGACATGCTTGTCCATCGTAACCAAGAAAATGCTTCGTTACAATGGACAAAATACACCCATGTATGTTGAAAGGAAAACACATATAGAGCTACAGTAATCTTTTGCAATGTAGTATTGTAATCACCTGTGAGTTTTTGTGCTCGTGTTATGGTATGTTGCATCTTCAGCTCATGAATTTCCCCTCGTGCCTCTGGCAGCCGACCATGGTGGTGCAAGCGCTTCTTTTTTGCCTGCTGGAGCCACTGGCTGCTGCAATCAACCCAGCCAATGACCACTGGGCATTGAGGGATAATGCCGCACAGCTGCTTGCTGCATTGCTCAGGTGAGAAAAGCGCTCGAGGAGGTGTGTTGAGGGGTGGTTGGTAAGACGTTAATTTGAGATCTAAATTGCACTGGGGATGATATACCAGAGTAGTGTTCGTCTTGTCATCTTCTGCTGTGGTGTCTCTTCCGCAGCACAGTTCAGGTGCTCAAAATAATGAGAAAGGTGTCTTGGCAGAGTTAGCGGAGACAGGGCTCGCCTTGCTGTAAACATGTTCAATGCGTTGGAGCTGACAACGAGTAGCGTTCTGATGTTTTCCCGAGCTCAACAAAAAGAAACAAGTGCTTGTCCTGTGTGATTCTTCGTTGCTGTCTTCGTGTGCTTTTTCCTGGCTTAATTTTTCGATTACTATGAACCAGAAAGCTACATGTGAGAGCTACGATTTGCCGGCCTAAGAAAACTTAGGCATGGAAACCAAAGGTCGACAGCATAATAGAGAGATTACTTCCTCTCAGTAGGCTCACAACACTTGCTGAGCAAAAAAGAGTTGAAGTATTGACACGCTTTCAAACTTACGTACAGTGTCGTAATTCACAGCATCGACCATTTGGAACTTGTTTGCATCATCGACTCTGAAAAGGGTTGATTAATTGGAGGCTTGTGCAAATATTCGAGCACATCGAATATTCAAGAGAATATTACGGTGTTCAAAATTGCTTAGACTTGAATTTAAAATATTGGAAATTTCTAAATGTTTGAAATCAACGAATAGGTGTATATATTTAGTGTGCACGTAATATCACAGTTTAAATCAAGAAGAAAAAATGGGCATGGGCTGGACATGTAGCGGGTAGGCAGAATAACCGTTGGTCATTAAGGATAACTGACTGGATTTCCAGAGAAGCCAAGCAGGTTAGGGGGAGACAGAAAGTTAGGTGGGCAGATGAGATTAGAGAAGTTAGCGGGTATAAAGTGGCAGCAGCAAGCACAGGACCGAGTTGACTGGTGGATCATGAGAGAGGCCTTTATCCTGCAGTGGAACTAGTCAGGCTGATGATGATGATCAACCCTTTGTAAAGTGGTTTCACTGCAGTAGACAGGAAACTATACTGTGAACACACCTTTCCAGGGGAATCCACACTGCCGCGAAATCTCACTTCAAGGTTGAATGAACACATTACTCTGATAATCAATTGATCATTAAGTTTAAAAGCTTGTTGTAACAGCTGGTATGCTCCAAGTGTAGTCAATTTTAAAATGTAACATATTTTTAGGTTATCACTTACATTCTATTGAAAGTCAAATACTACTGCAATTCAAAGTAGCTTCCACTTCCTTTGAACCAAAAGGACTGACATTTTCACTTGCCTTACTTTAATGTTGAAAAATATTGTGCAAGTAAGTTAGGACATGGTATGCTCAATTTTTTATATCATATGTAATATATTATATTCGAGTTCAGATATGAAGTTATTACACAAAATCACTGTTCGCTTTTTATTTGTTTTGGAACAGAAATTTACTATTTGCTCTAGCCTAGTTAATTGATAACTATGACCTCTTGTAGATAATGTATTAAATCATTAAATTGTTTTACCGACAAATCGATGTTTTAGTTATTATTGGTAGAGGCCTTTAGATGACAGTGAGAACTGACTAAAAGCAGCAATAATGACGATGATGGTTGTGAACATTGTTGCAGGTTTTGGGCAGATCGTGTGGCAGGTCTTGAGAACCAAGTGCTGGACGCACTGGGAGAGTGCGTGAGAGACCCCTCACTGAGGCCCCTGTGTGCCCAGTATGGGGCTGTGTCGGGACTCACTGCTCTGGGTGTGGAGGCACTGCAGCAGGTTTTGGGGCCGCATCTGGGTTCCTACTGGCGCCACCTGGAGCTCATTCTCGCCGACTGCAGGCCGGCCAACGCACAGGCCCAAGCAGACGCCACTAGAGTGCACGGGGCGCTGCTGGTCCGTAGCGGTTACTTCGATCTTTGTGCGACATACTATATTCAATCAATCAATCAATCAATCAATCAATCAAACTTTATTTCAGGAATGAATACATTACATGAATAAAATTTTACAGTACAGAGGAATGCATTCATTACTCGTGTAATGAATGCACTCGCTTAATTTTCCGAGAGAACATTGCGTTCATTGCGCGAGTAAATGCGGTAACTTTAGACGTGTTAGATTTTGACGTGGTGCACAGAACCGGTGCTGCAAAAGTTCAAATGGTGGCAATGCATACAGATCGTTGGTGCAGATGGTGCAGTTGCAGTGCCACTGCATTTCGTTTCTTTGCACCCAAGACATACTCAGCCCAAAATGATTGAGGATGAATTCACTCTCTGTCTGTTGCTTCTATCACCGCAGTTCCGTCTAACACTTGTGGGGTCTCGACGAGGCGAGCGCCTCGCCATGCTCTTGGAGTGAACGGACACAGCAGACGCGGTTGGCACAAAGCAACAATACACATACATTTATTTACCTAATTTATAACGATGATATCGTCCGCCGAATCGATACATCAGTAATGAACACGCTAGGACAACGTTACACAATAACGCAACAAACACACACTATGACACACCCACAACAAACCTAATAGCACGACAGACACACAATAACATACCCAAGGCGGCGTCGCCAACGCTTGACTTACTACGTGGGGCCCCCCCCCCGGCGTGCAGGCCCGCGGTGCTACACGCAGAAGAGGCTCGCTCAACTCTCGCCCGTTAACAAGGCCTGCCTTCCGCCAGGGGTCACTGCCGGCGCTACCACTTGAGTACCAACAGTGGTACTCAACGTGAACATAACGCCATCTATTGCCCGGCGGTCGTCACCCGAAATGCGGCCTTGGGGCGAGACACTTGCGCCACACAGCGCAAACAACTTTACAGGAGGTGTCAGCACCCCCACACACTATAACACTGTTATCATCAAAAACAAAAAATAATTCGTATTGGGCACTGTGGGAGCAATGCCATGTTCAACCAAGTGCTGTCAAAACACGTCGTCTGCTTCTGAGCTGCACCGCGACGGCACCAGTTAGCGAGCAAGTTTAGGTATTCTCAGCATTGCGCTGCAATTGAGCACCGCGCTCCAGCACACCAGAAGATTGAGGACTGCAGTGTCATGCACCATGAACTGGTGCAGGTGAATCGAACACACCTTTTGTGTTGCATCACGCGAATAGGGTGTCAGCCAAAACACTGGTGTCTGTCTTGAATGGAATAAACCGTGTGAAAGACGATAATGTTTGAGAAATTGCAAGCACAAGCACTTCTTTCTCGTAATTTATTTTGTTCAAGATGGAAGCGCACCAATCCACCCAACTACCCATTTTAACACACTAGTACAACTTGTTAATTCGAACTCTGTTAAATCAAACTTGCAGCTCATTCGAACCAACTCCCTGGTACAGCACAACGCTATCCATGTTTATGGGGCAAAACTACCAATAATTTGAACTCGTAGTCATGCACAACAGGTAATACGGACTGGGAGCTAATGGTTTTCACTGCTTCTTGCAGAAGTTGGCCACGAGTGATCACAGTGTGCTGCAAAACCAAACCAAACCAAGTTCACTAGAGATGCAAAACAATGAAACAGCAGCATTTCTTAGCAGAAGAGCATTCGGAAGCTGTGCTGAAGCTCTTGGGCAAGCTGTAAATGGTGCTCATAGAGGTGGAACAGAAGTGGAAGCAAACTCAAATTTTTGAGGACTTAACATCTTTATTACGTGAATTTTCCCATGTAATTAAATGTGTTTTGGAGGATAAGTAGCATTTTATATTTTACACTAGAGCCCTCTGCTCTCATGAGGGCCAGTCGGTTCTTGTCTGGGGTGTATCACTGCCTGATCAATTGTAATTGTGTTCACTGTTAAAGGTCCGTGAATTCAATTTGTGAAACCACCTGCCACAAAGGTGTCGAACCCTGCTACAACGAAAGTGACGGGGTGCGGAAATAATTTCGTTGAAGCGAAAACTTCTTTGTATAAAATTAAAAATATAGCTGACCTAAGCTATCAAAACAAAGGAACTCTTATTCCCAAAATTCAAAAAGCGCCTAGTTCACGGTAACGAGCTTCTTGGGTTCTGCCCACGCAGTGTGGTAGGACGTCCATTCAGTGTAGCGCCTGTCCGCTAAATCGAACCCCGCTTAATTTAAACTCTCTTGTAGTCCCCTCATGTTCGAATTGATGAGTTCTTACTGTATCTGCACTAGGGAAGCAGATATCACATTTGATGCGCAATACTTCTCCTTTGTATGTTGTAATATTGCGGCTATCACTCACGAGGCAAAAACATGTAGAGTAAAAGCATTCCTAGCAGTGGATCATTCCTAGCAGTGGAACATGTAGAGTAAAAGCAGTGGATCATTCAAACCCACAATCTTTGATGGTTGTGAGTTTGAATCCCATTGATAAAAGAGGTGTTTTTTCACCAGCTTGAATTTATTTCATCTTATGTCATTTAACTTCACTGCAATTTTAAAAAGAAATGCATATCTTGGCTAATGTCTAAATTGGTTGTCTAACAAAGAAATCGGCTACTCAGGAAAAATTCTATTCTTAGTTCCTAAGTGTGACTGAATCAGTGAAACAATGTTTTATCTTTTCTGTGTGCTGATTGCGTAACCTCTCTTGCACTTCCAGTTGGCAGCTGAGAAGCTGGTAAAGGAGCAGCGTCGCATGATGACGAAAACAGAGTTGCCCGGTGCCTCTTACGGTCTCCTGTACGACTGTTTTGGGGATGCCCTGGCTTTGAGGCTGCCTCTTGCTGTACGGAGTGGCCCAGCTCCTCTACACACCACGGCAGGTCAGCACTGCGGAGGGGCATCATATATAACATTCATAAAAGTTATAAAGAAGCTTTTATAGCTCTCAGATTGTGTGTAGGAGGGGGAGCACAGGCGAAAAATTGTGCCCTGGCTGAGGGCACACAAATGCCACCCTCGAATGTGCATCAGTCACATGCATATCTGCATGTGCTGTTTTTGCGATCATTCATGCTCTCTCGGTAGAAGGCTTATTGGAGATCGGCCGTTTCTGATATGGCAACCTGATCTTTTATCGAGGTGACTTGCCAATGCATTGGACTTGTCATTGGCGACTTGTCTTGGCATATTATAAAGACAAATGGGCATATTCATCATGTATTGCAAAAAATTTAAACAAGGCCTGCGCGAATGGCTTTTTTTTTTTTGCATTAAAGAAAGCGGAAACGACGTTGAATAGTAGCAGGATTTGATTTTCAGTAGAATGCAAGTCATAGCCTCTAAAATATGTTACTTTGTAAAATTTGCTAAACTTAGAGCATATAAGTTGGTACAACTTGCTTTTGAACTTAAAAAATGAACTGATGTGAGGGTAATGTTCTCATCTAGCTTTGAAGTGGGGCTTTGCGACAGTGCGGATTTTATTTAAATATGTGTTTTCACGACTTAGCACCACTTCACTGCAGTGAAGCCACTTCTATGGATGGGGTTACATGCAGTTTATTATGCACTTAAATGCTTTCATGGTTCAGCACCACTTAACTGCAGTGAAACTACTCTTACAGGGTGTTATGCAGACTAATATGCAATTATTCGTTCATTTTGAATAATTTGAAATTTTCAATAACTTAAGTTCGATTTGAAGTAAATTTGAATACTGCATTATTTGTTCAAATATTTGACGCATTCAAATATTTGCACAAACCCTCAAATTTTGTTGCCTAGATATGAATGCATGACTGCTTTGTTGGCTCTAGTAGCTGAAATTTGATGCTGTGTAGCTGCAATGTGGTAGTTAGAAAGTCGTTTGTCAGGCACACACCTCATGCCAAGCTTTGCTTGCCCCAATTTTGCTTTGGGACATTAAACCCCACACATCAATTGATTTTTCTTATAGGCCAAGGGCTCCCGAGTTTCTTATTCTAGCATGAAGTTGTTTGTCTCATCGTCCTGCAAAGTGAGGGCCACACTTACTATACACCGTATCAGTATTTCTGCAAAGATCTTGATTGATTTGTGGGGTTTAACGTCCCAAAACCACCATTTGATTATGAGAGACGCCGTAGTGGAGGGCTCCGGAAATTTTGACCACCTGGGGTTCTTTAACGTGCACCCAAATCTGAGTACACGGGCCTACAACATTTCCGCCTCCATCGGAAATGCAGCCGCCGCAGCCGGGAATCGAACCCGCGACCTGCGGGTCAGCAGCCGAGTGCCTTAGCCACTAGACCACCGCGGCGGGGCATTCTGCAAAGATCTTGCTTCCGAGTTTCTGCAACACTAAGTTTCTACAAACTTACAAAACTTTGTTCCTACAGAGACCTAACACAGGTGTTTCTGGAAATACCCTATTCAAAGAATCTTAAACTAGGGTACGCTTCAAAAAAAAATTAAATTCTGCTGAAATCAACTGTCAGGTGTAGTGGGGGTTCATAAATAACAAAATCGTGCATATTGACAAATAAAGTTCATGCGTAAGCTTTTCAAATAATTGTAATATTGTACACATTGTAATTGATGAGGTATAGACAGGGAGCTGTCAAGACGTGCACATTCACTTGGAGGCAAATCTGAGAGCAGTTCCGACATGGAGATGTGACCCACCAGAATTGCAGTATAAATGCACGTTTGTTCTAGTTATATCTTTCTAGAAATACCATTTTGGTATTGAAGAATGAGAAACAACTGGAATATAAGTGGATATGCATCACGAACTCACTGGCCACAATTCTCACAGGCCCCTCTGAAAGCATCGGGCGGACAAGGCAGCCCCACGGGTGAGCAGATGCTTGAGGCTTTCTACGAGGAAGAGCGCAGTCCCTCCGCAGCAGAAGAGGACAACAACTCGGAAGAGAGCAACCTCAGTGGGCCACCACCGAACATCCACCCCCAGGTGAGCTTTAAGGGGCCAGTCAACACGCCCCGACTTTTTCTTTACAGCCTCCAAAAAAGTTCAGCAGTTCACAAAGCAGGCAGCGGCAATCACGTTTTCCAAATACCGTATAGACCACTTATAATGCAAGTCACGGGAGTCCCGAATATAGGCACTGTGAGTGGTACCGCACTATAACCAAAGCAACCTTCTTCAAGGGCCGCGATTGCGTAAACCATGTTGAGCAAGCAGCCTCGCGTGTCCGAGAATCGAAGCATGTGATGCGTGGTTCTTACATTTAATGTCCCACGACATGGTGCTGGCAATGGAATTGAACATGAAAGCTGAGGGGAGGGGAAGAGGGGAGGGTGCGTGTCTAACAAAAGTACCATCGCGGAAACTCGCCGACCGTTTCTCAGATCGCTTCGATTATGCGCATTAGACATAATGCCGAATCGCGTCCGAAATTTCAGGCTCTGAAAGAAACGCCAATCATTTCAACTTGACGGGGTGTGCCCTATTTCAAGACATCACAATCAAATCATTGACCACCTTTCGAATGCTACACGTGCTACCCCCGTTTTCATTACGATACGTATTCCTTCTCGTCAAGTGCGGCCACCGCAATGAGCTTCGTTGATTCCGTACCCAACCGCGATTTGGATTGCACGCGACCGCTGCCAATACAACCAACGCCGATTAAGCCTAGCCTGCCTTCGGTGTGTTGTCGTGGGAGGTATGTCCAAGACATGGAAATCTGGTGTCAAAAAGACCTCACCCAAGCACTGAACCAAAAACAGCGTGCGCGATAAGAAGTTCCTGGCCGGGACATCAAAAACGACGAAAACCTGCCAAGCTTATACGTAATACAGCACATTGCAGTAAAGGGGAAGCTTGCATCATAATACCCTGAAAGGTTTTAAGTTTGCAAAAGAGGTAGAGAAAACACAACGTCTGTAGCAAGCACAATAACAACGACACTTTTTTTGACAGGAAACTGTTAATCGCAGTTGATAAGGACGGGATCGCACGTGCCATGTTGAGCCGCACGCTGCCATAGCCACGCTAGGAATGCTCGGTGCAAAGGCTTATCCGTCCCCAAGGCAGCCGCCCTCCTCCCTTACTTGGCAAGCCCGTGCAAGCATGTCGCTGTCTCTTTTCCTTTTCTTCCCTTCGCCCTTTGTTTCGATCAATCCGCATCCCCTCTTCCTCAGTAACGACCTCGTCGCTTGCTTTCCAGCGCGCCTCCTTTCAGACTGGCTACTGCGATTGTCACACAGATTTTCCGGTAGCCGCATTATAATCGGTCTCTCATCTTGGGGGTCTGCACAATAAGCGGTATGCGTATACATGCGGTTCTACGGGCGGGTGAATGGGAGTAAAAAAAGACCACATTGTAACAGGGACTGCACTATAAGCGGTTATGTTATAAGTGGCTTGCACTGCATCACAGCGCTGCATGCCACGCAGTGCCTCTTTTTCAAAAAACAATGCCTGCACTCCTTTCCTGCACCTGATGAATCCTCCTTTCACATGCAGTGACTTAAAAATAACCGATCAGTGACTTGACGTAGCACGTAGCTCATCAATTTGTTTTATAGGTTTTACATGTGGGTTAATAGACATCTATCTGGTCATTCATTTTGAATACTTCGAAATTCCTGGTAATTTCAATTAGAACCAAAGCAAATTGGAATACCGTGATATTCGTTCAAATATTCACACAAGACTAAGGTCTTCACTTTTACCTAATTCAGTTGGGACGCAACTAAATTTCTTCGTCTGGGTGGTTTAGGGACCCTTTAAAAATGCCTGCAGGGTTCGTGAGCATTTCGCTGAAAACGTCTTCTCACTCTGTAAGAAATAGAGTATTTCACTGTTCACTGTTCAGGTCAAGAGCACCATATCGGATCCTGCAAGAGGAATCCGCCTGACCATCGCTCTGCGAAGGCCCCCCACCATTGAATCCAAGCAGCCACGCAAAAAGCGCCCTCCAGGGGCCAGTCCACACCGCTGAGCCTCCCTTTGAGGGGGTTCCCTGGACGCCCCCACCGCGTCGAGCAACCATCAACATCTGTTTTGAAGGTTTGTGCCACAGCAGTCATTGATTGCCGTTAGAGTTTGGACTTGGTTTGGTTTCATCGATGGCATATTGACCAGTCAAGTGCCCACACTTGGTCTCTGTAGAGGGTTTCAGCATGGCATAGACCGACTCAAGAATACTGGGGGGCTTTGTTGCCCATAGCTGCACTGTTATTGTCATCCACCGCATCCTTGTTATGCCGTAGTCAGGCATACAAGCTGTACCTTTTGCTGCTCAATTCTTAATAACAAAATGGATGTAAAGATGCTTTTTCTACTAGGATGATATGATTTTGCTTGTATGTGGGTGAATAGTCGAGCGCTTTGAATATTCAACTTGAATACAGTAAAACCTCCTTAATTCAAAGTCACTGAGACTGTGAAAGATCTTCTGAAATAATTAGGTTTTCAAGTTAACGAAACACACAGAAAGTGGTACGCGAGGAACATTGAAACCAATTGGAGGTGGTCGTTTTCTGTGGTGGCTAGTTCGCAGTTTCTAGGGTTATGTTTTCCTCGCAATACCTTTACCCAATTTTGCCAGTAAACAGTGAATAGCGGGCACCGCTGCTGCCATCGAAAAGTCTTGTAATCAACTAAAATGCGTGCCTGCAGGATATACGTGCTTCACATGCAACACAGTGGTGACACGCAGAAAGCATGTCACCTGTGCTTAGCAGCGTCAGTGCGTCATGATGCGACCATTCGCCGATCATTTCTAGCAGAATATAGAATTTAATAATGGCTAGTGTGATAGTATTTGCGACGTTTTTTGGCAGGAAACCATGATTATTGAAGTTTTCGAACTGAGATTTTGATGTAGGCATTGCACGCAAGAGCTCTGCCAGCAATGCTAGTGCGCCGATTGCTGGAGCTATCGGAAGTCGTCATACATCGCAAATTGCATCAGACTGATCTTTGTGAATTTCTTCATATTCCCAGAAGTAATGGGTAAATCATGATGTGCTGACACAGCGAGAAGCATGCATTGTGCTGCCCGCATCTCATTACTGTGGTGCAGTAAAGTACTTTTTTTTTCTTTTCCGGAAGCACACAGTTAAATTGATCACCAGATCCCCCTCCCCCCCCCCTTTTTTTTTGCACTGGCAGAAGTGTGGCTGGGGTGCTTCATCTGTCGCTTATCAGTACTGCTGCACTGCATCATTGCTTTGTGGCTCTTAAAGGCTTGAAGGCCGATGTTTTCGCGGATTTGAGGCGAAATCGAGAATCGGTACATGGCACCTAAAGATTTCTAATTAACCGAACTGGTGCTGACTGTTGTTTCAAGTTATCTGCTCAAACTGATATTGCAAAATATGGGACCGCAGAAATCCTTTGAATTACGTGTTATTTTGAAATAAAAATAATCGAGGTTGAATTAGCGAGGGTTTACGATTAAGTATACAAGTTCTATTTGACATAAACTTGAAATTCCTACATTTTTTTTGAACTATTTGAAACTAATGACTAGGTGTACATGATACTGGGTGTAACCCTCTTCCAACGATGGTTTCGCTGCGGTGTCGGGATGCTATGCCATCAAACTTTTTTTTAGAGTCAATACATTCAAGATTAGCAGGGCCTGAAAGGCAGCTTTGCTGGAATATGAAAGTGTGATGTGGTGAAGCATGATAAAGATTTAAAGAGGCCATTGATTATTTCAACATCGACTGTATTTGTCTTCAGGAAGTTCGAATAGTAAAATCTCTACTTGCATACTGCATCGCATAGCAAACACTATTAGAAAAATATTTGAAATTTCGAATACTCGCACACTCTCTAAAAAGTTATGACCCAACCATTTTTAACCCTTTAATGCCTGAATTATGAAACTGCCAAAGAAAATAAGAATTGTTTTTATTTTCCAGCTTTAGATAGCAACTCTTAAATAAATCTACAGTTTAAATATTTAAAATGCATTTTTAATGCACACTTTTATGTATGTCAGTGATTCTCCACATGCCAGAAGTAGAGACCTTGCAATGAAAAATTGTGCTTCAGAACTACGCAACATGTCATTAGCCTACGTCATGAGTGCGCACGAACTAACTAAACAAAATTATTGATGACAAAACTTGCGTCAGCCAGGCGAGGAAGAATGAAGAAGTAGGTGCTCTCGGCCATCAGGTACGAAACAAGTTGTTCTTGCGTAAAATTTATTGTACGAGATAGTGCTAGATTTGTCATGCTGAAAGCCACTTTCCTTGTGAGCACTTCACAGCTGGCATTAAAGGCGGCATGCATTCTGTGACTTGTTTTTGAAGTTTTTCGTTATGTCGTGAATTCGTGACACTAGGCAGTAAAGGGTTAATGGTGAAGCTCAAGCATGCTTCAATTTGAAGTGTCCAGTTCAAACTGAGATAGTGTAAGTAAAAGAATGCCAAGCTTCTATATTATTTCCACCTAGTAGACATTTCTGTGTCCTATGTCTCACTCAAGTTTTCGTCTTAACCACTCGGTTGTCTTCTCGTGCATGACAACCCCAGGTGCAATGCCGGTGCTCCGCCCGCCACCGGATCCACCTGCACCGGCCGAAGGGGAGTGGCGCACAGTCGAGTTGAGCAGGCGAATGGGACGAGTGGGCCGGGGAGCACGAAGACGCAGAGCATACCGGGACAGACACACCGGTGCTGGCATAGACGCAATCCTTTGAGAGAAGCATGCCTCGTCTATAAGGTATGCTCTTAACATCACTTTTAAGCTGCTTTGCCCGTACCAGGAATCGGCGAATGGTTCGAACCAATATTGCACTGTTCAAATTTGCTTTAACAGGTACTTAAATTATTCAAAATTTGGAAATATTTGAAATGAATAAATGGATGTAGATTTGATCACCTGCTTTTCCCATTAAATACAGATTTGAGCCCCCATGTAACATTTGCAAGTGAGTCATTGTCAAGCTGGATTTCGCTCATGAAAGTCCAGCATACCATAGCTATTGTTCAGATAGGCTTAGATTATCATTTTGTGTATTACCATAGGTATTCATTCCAGGTTATTGTGTGTGCTGATTTGCTTTATAACTTGCACAGTTTAGAAGTAAACCTCGCTGCTAACAAGGGACATGAAATGTATGATATTTCAAAAAATGTGCTATCACATTAAGCCTACACAATAACGTTCGACTGGCATAAATTTATTACATCGAAATCGCTAAGATTAAAAACAAATGGTGAAATATTTCTGCGTTTGTTCACTTTCGTCCAGAAGCTGGTCAACATTAAGAGGGAAAAACTCTGCAATGAGCCGAGGTACAAGCCAGAGTACATGTAGTAAATTACCAATGATGGCTTTCCACTATGAACCCTGTCGCCACCAAGAGTTTAAGACCAACTCCTGTGCCCCCCTTGCGGCTTTGTCATGTACAAACTCTGTGTGAGGCTCAGCCATGCTAGCTCTACTGAGCTATCGAAGTTGTGCATAAGTACAGAAAATGCCCAATTCTCTCTCAACTATCTTGGAACAGTAAGATCGTCTGAAAAAAAAGAAGAAAAAAAAAATAGAGCAATCCGGGAAAAAATGAGTGCATTGTTTTTTTAGTGCCTTCATGATTGACAATTGCCACAGCCACATTTGAAATGCAAGTTCAGTACGAAAATTTGGATAATAAATGCACAAATTAAACAAATGGGTTACTCACAGCAGAGATAACCCAAAACACTTATTTAGCGGTGAACAACTGCGTTATTACTGTGATAGCAATTATATGGACACTCTCGGCAAGTCTTGCCGTCGCCGCCATGTTCCATAACAAGTCTAAATTGATAACATGCCCCTGCGCATCGTAACTTTCATGAGCGGGTAAAAGCGCGCGAGCGCCGCTGAAGCAGAGATCAAGCGAGTCGGCCCATCTCTATCGCCTAGAAGGCGCACAAGATAACATCCCCTGCATGTTAGAACTGCCATCGAATGCTCAAACAGAAAGGAAACTGCCAGTCTTGAACGAGCATGAAAAAAATGCAGGGTGGAGGGGGTTCGCTTGAATAGCAACAATGAACTTTGATTTTAAGGGAGCGGTTGCGATCGCTGACGTGCATGCTATCTCGACAAGTGCATATATCAGTGCGCTTTCAACGTGAAGAGATTGTGTGAAAAGAGTGCTTCTTCCTGGAGCGGCTGTATTTGCTCACACCAGAATTTTGTAGGAGTTCTGCGATATCGTATCCAAGAGTTGGCTGCCTGTCTTACTTTGTAGAACGTTAAGTTTTTTGTTATTCTGTTTATTGCATTACATTAAGTGTGCCATCGTGTTTGTGTTGTTTCCAGTACTAATTGACTAATCGCGAAGGCTATGGGCCTGCGAACTCGTGGTGCGGTGCAAGGCCGAAGCACATGACGAGTCGACCTCTGAACACTCGTCGTCACTGTTGTCTCAAAGAGTTTTCATCAGCACCTAATCTGATAACCCCTCGGCAGTGACTGACAACACGGTTGTCTGCATTAAAAAAATAATAAAAGAAAAAAAACAAAGCTGGACATAGTTGGGGGCCACACCTTATGCGCACAGTGAAACTATGCACGCGTGCACAGCGTTCGAAACGAAGAGCGAATGACACGGATACAGCTTAAAACTATTCAATAAAGCGGCCTCTGAATGCAGCGCGGTCCTGCATATGTGACGCTAACTAAAGGCGTGGCACTGCCAACGCAAAAGTAGTTGTCTTTTTTGTTTGTTTGTTTGGAGAGGGGTGCGGGGAAATGCACATGCGCCTGTGGCTGCTAGAATGGCGGCAATGCCGGCTCGTGGAGCGGAGTCATAAGCGTGCAAAGTGAGCCGGCCCCGCATGGCGCCCGCGTAAGTTGCATGCTCATACCAAAATGACAAAATTGAGAGCGAAATTCATAGGTAAAATTCGTTATAATATCAAGGTTGCCTCTCACTGCTACTTTGTTACTTAGAGGTCGCAAATACGTGTGCTTCTATAGAGCAACGGCAGGGAACAAAAAAAGCTTTGCTATATCGAGGAATCCATTTTATCGATGTTCATTATTAGCAGGTTTAACAATAGCTGCTATACGGACTTGTAAACAATATTTAGGTTATTATTTCATTTGGTGCAGCAGCAAGCTTACCAGTCACAGAATGCCAACATGTAAAATGCTGGGAATTATTGTTTTATCAGAATTTTTAAATTTGCAGTGCTGATGAAGCTATACACACAGTACATGCTACGCAAACTCAAATCTCGATATAACGAATCCGGATATAACTAAATGTCGGTTATAATCAAGTAAATGGAGAATACTCTTGCGATAGACACAGTGTTGAAAATACAGTCAACTCTCCGTTTATTCAAACTTGAAGGGACTTCTGAATTTTGTTTGAATTGTCAAGAAGTTTCAATCATCAGGAGTTCTCAGATGGATCACTCTGGGGGAGGTGACACCACACATTATTGTAGCCCCATGTACTCAGATTTGGGTGCACGTTAAAGAACCCCAGGTGGTCGAAATTTCCGGAGCCCTCCACTACGGCGTCTCTCATAATCATCAGTGGTTTTGGGACGTTAAACCCCACATATCAATCAATCAAACACCACACATTATGATTAGGCATTGATTTTATCACATTTTAAAGCATTTTTAAACCCTAACTGCACGCAAACAACAGAAAGCAGGAGTCAAAGGTCCACAAGTTTATTGGCTGCGTACTGCTCATCAGACCTTTTGAGGAAATAGTGAATTGCAAACCGCTTCTTTCCTACAGGTATGTGCCTTCAGCACAGAGCTCTCTATACCAGTTAAGAAGCATCGCAGTTTATCATGCATGCGCTTAGTTTCAAACATTTGTTTATTTGCAAAGCCCTTTTTTCTTGAAAACCTAAGGTGCTTATTTTTCATTTTTAAACTGTTAGGATTATATAAGCACGCAAATTTTAAGTAGTAGTGGGAAAGCAGCAGATATTTTCTGCAGTAACGGTAAGTTGGGCCTGTTGGTTAGGATTCATCGTGAACTTATTTACAGCGCAACACCAGAAAAACACAGGACAGGGAAAGAGCAAAAGAGAAAGAAAAGATGGCGCTGACTCACAACTGTTGTTTATCGTAAAAAACTGGGTGAAATGTATATATATGCTCCTTCCCTGTCCTGTGTTTTTTCTGGTGTTGTGCTGTAAATAAGTTCACGATGGATATTTTCTGGTATGGAACTTCAAAAATTAAGAATTAAGCAAATGACTAAGTTTGAATTAAGAGGGTTTCAAATAATTTGAAGGAATGGAGGGCCGACCAAAAAATGTAATTTTATTTTAATTAACCAAAAGTATGAGTTAACAGAGTTTGAATTATCTCGAGTTATAACGAATTTTCGGAATTAACGAACTTATTTTAGTGGAACTTCGTCACAGTCAGGTTTGAGTGTAGTTGCCAAACAAATGAAGCCCTGCCAGCCAAACCAGTGTTGTGGCACTATGTGGGCATGCACTGTGGCACACCACACCAGCTCAGCATAGTTCCACTGGTTGCCATGAAGGCAGTGCCTCTCCTTTCATCTCATAATGAGCATGGAATAAAGTGGAGAGGCCGATTTTAAAGACTCATAAACAACAGAAGACCACGTACAGCCATCGGAACGCCGCCTTTGTGAATTTCCAGACCACCATGTGGCATGTTGTACCACTTCAATAAGATCCTTGACTCTGTCGCAATATTTTAATCTTTCCATTTGAAATGGTGTTTAATCACGTGTTTTCTTTGCTTGCCATTCCTTAAGGGCGCAGGTTTGGGCAAAATTTGAAAAAAAAAAAATCTTTTTGGTTTCCTTGCAATTTGGGAAGGCATCCCTTTCTGGATATTTTCCATATTCGTGCTTTTCTTAAACGGCAATTTTTTTATCATATTTATTTTAGACAAGCCATACACATAGTTGCCTATGCGATTGGCGTAAAATCAAAGAAAGCCTGACAAAGCACCAACTTCCTGTGTACACACATGCATAAGCAATTATAAAGATTGAATGTGTGCAATAGCATCAAACGTTAGCAATTTTTTTCTAACATCAAGCCATTTAACAAAATGATGTACATAATTGTCATTAGCACATGAAGAATAATGAGAAGCTATTTATGAATAACAATGGCTGCCAAAATAAAAAATAATAAAAATACAGGTATGGGCCACATATGCAAGTTACAGAAGATAAGAAGATGAATAGGAAGAGGTATGAAAGTCTTGAGTTTTTTTGGAGGAATGTGCGTATCTTCTTTTTGAAGACATAAATGGGGGAACTTTGTTCAATAATTGTCATCTCAGTGGGGTGCTCAGGAAGTGGGATATTTGGTAAGTCAGTTTTTGTGTACTGTAGTTAGTACGAAGTGTATCTTTCTTGAAGCTGATGTGCCTCAAGTACGTGGTTCTGAGGCCCTCCCTGAATGATGAGGCTCTGAAAGGCCGCTCTTCTAACTTTCGCTGCGACTGTTTTGTGCCTTCCGCACAGGCCTGGCTTTTTTTCCGAAAGCAAGTAGTGAGCGAAAATGCACCCTAGCGCAAGTTCCTTCTATGAAACTTATGCTTATGGCTTATTTTTCTAAAAAAGACTTCATGTACAACAGTCAAAATGCTTGTCTAAAGTTAGCTGGTAGCTGGGTAAAGCAAATTGTCAGGTAATTTCTATGGCAGTCTTAAGACCCTGTGCGCTGTTATATTCACACTTCATCTTCGGAGCATATCGTTTAAAACACTTTCAACTCGTAGCTTTGTTATACCTTGTGTTGTCATGCTTGTCGATTATTTCAGATGCTGAGGATAAAGAAGGTCATTAGCAACTAAAATTTTGGGCCTCTCTTATTAATGTTCTCTGGTTAATGTGAATAAATGCCAGTGACGTACTGAGGTGCTGAACTCTGAACCAGCGTTCGCTAGTACGCGACACAACCGGCCGCACTGTGATGATTTTTCATTTTATTTGGACACAAATCTTGCGTAGTTAAATGCCAGAAGGCCACTAAGTGCTGTCACTCAGAATTGTCCGAAGCTTGAGTCCCACGACAGTCCGTTTTTCACTGGTAACGTCCCAGAGTGTATCGTTCTCCATTCCATCCTGTGTGTTACTGATGCAGCATTTGTAGAAAGATGGAAGCACACCGCCTCAGCACAAAGTCCTTCCCTTTCATAAATTCGGTGCACCCACGATGGCGATCTCTTGAATTGCACCTTCGTGAGCACAGAGTCGCGCGCCTATCTTGAGAGCTTTTCCTGCGGATGCACTACGCTGTTACTGGTAGCGACCTTGCACGCAGCTCCCGGTTGAATTCTGTGAGTAGCGTTTCCAGTTCGGGGTGCAGTGCAGTCCGCCCACGAAAGTGTTTTTTTTTTTTTTTTTTTTTTTGCAGCAGGATGCGATACTTTTTGCTCCTCCAGTATCGGACACTTTTCTACGGTGCACCAAATTACCTTTGTGCTGCCAGGTTGCCGTGCGAACTCCATAACTTTTTTCTTGGAGCCTATCGTAAGCTGCCGTCAACTAGTACTCATTTCTGAAGGAAACAGAAAACAGCAGACTGACAGCAGATAATGGAAGAAAAAATGTCGTTGCTGGAACACTGTAGGCTTTGCCTAGCCTTTCCCAACGTCGCCGCTGCTGATGTTCACGGTGGCAGTGGAGGCTTTCGACTTCAGTTCCCCATTGTTGTGAGACTTCCACATTTTTTTTTTTTTTTCTGCCAATGACCAGTATATAAGACGAAGGTCAATTTTTCATTGTGGTATTTTGAAAAATAATTCGACCTGTATTTCGGTAAGGTATATTTGTATTACAGTAGTGGATTGGGGTACACAACAATAGCCAAAAAAAAATCAAGACTTTCTTGAACAGATGAACATAAAGGACCCTCCTTGTAATAGTAGAATTCTAATACTACAACCAATGGAATTCTGATACATAACCTATAGAACTTTCTTACACTAATGGAAAGTTAGGTAGGCATTTTTGCTGTGTACGCCAAAGACTAACATGCTATAATGAGGATGTCATTAAGAACAAGAACTAAGGTTCGCAAAGAGGCCAATAATCAGAACCAGTTGAATAAAGCATTAGGTTATTGCTAGTAATAAACTTGTAAAAATCTATTTATTTCACAATATGATGTAGATAAATCATTCTTATCGGGATGCAGTAGATCTCGTAAGCTTATTAAATTATTGTCCATAGCAGCTGCTGCCAAAGTCTGGCACTGTGGAGGGTTCAAGACGGAAAGGCAACGCTTGGAGATGGCGCCATGGCAGCTGCGGATCCTGTGAGTGGGGCCGGCAGGCTGGCCTTGCACGTCCACTGCTCGTTTTCCAGGCAAAGGATGCGGCTTCCGGAAACCACCAACAATTGCCCACCTGTGATTGAGACGGCAGACTTCATCAACAGGCAGAAAGAAAAACTGTTCCACACTCACCATCATGGCTACTGGCAGCAGTGCCCAACTTTCCCACATTAAAGTGCGCATATATGCCCCATAAAGTGGGCGAGGGGATAGCTGCCGCGGTAACCCGGTTGGTAGAGCATTAGACGCATTATTCTAAGGTCGCAGGTTCATCCCCTGCCTGTAGCCAGTTACCTTTTCATCCACTTTTCTTTCTTTACTAGTAACATTTCCTATACTTCCCTTGGCATTATTATCTGTTAGTTCAGGCCAGGAGTTCAAAGTTGTCCACGCAATAAATGTGACATCAGAGATCCTACAGTGCCGCATTGTAAAATTTTGGAGCCAATAATTTAGTGCATTAGTTTTGGGTGAATCAGTAACATAGTGAAACTTGTGTGAAAAAAAAAGAAAGGAAATTGTTTTCCACTTGAATGCCTCTAAGCAACATTTTGTGTGGGGTTGTGGTCCCAGTCAAGCCCTCAAAGAGGTTTTTTGAACCTGTCCCTTAGCACCCTAAATGATTTGATGTTGAAATTAACAAAGTTTAAAAGTAATGCAGCATTGTCATTGCCTAATTGCCAAGCCCTTCAGGCTACAGGCAGGCTAGTTTGGGTTCGTGCCACTTAGACTTTGAAAGTTACTAGTTCACAAGCAACAATAACCTACCTCGATTGCCGCCAACAGTCTCTTTTCGCATCTTACGAGTTATCTAAAGCATTGTAGCACAGATTTGCCATTGCTTAGTTGTCAAGCCCAAAGATAGTTGTCAAGCCCAAAGTAAGGCTAGTTCCGATCCGTGCCACCTACACTTTAAATGTTACTTGTCCGCGAACAACAATCGCCTGTCTCGAATGGTGCCAACAGTGTCTTCGCATCTTTTTATGAGGAATCTAAAGCATTAACAGGTTCTCATCTCCTCAAACTGCTATAGGGGTACTGATAAACATTCGTCTGTTTTCCATGCCACACACACAACTTGGCTTACTTGCTATTGTTAATTAAGGTTCAGAAGTGCAGGTGTCTGCTCTTCATGTTGATTAAAATACCTGAATTTCGTTTTACACCCATGCATTGCTCCTTGCGGTGCTGCGCTGTGCTCGCTTATGTGCAGCAGGAAATTGTGCCACCTTTCTTTTATTGAAACAATGAGTTGATTTAGATTGGTAAAATGCACTCTGAGAACACTAATGCCATAAGTTTCTCTGTCATAAGTTTATTATTAGCGGAGAAAATCAAGATTTAAGGTTCATTTTTAAATTTCACGCCGTAATACCCGCGTGTGACGTACGAAATTTCACAATGTATATTTTGTTTTCGTGACATTAGCTCGATAAAATTCTCTGAAACTTCATATGCTGTCTATGGCAGCCACAGATTAAAATGTTCTTCAGTTTTATTGATTAGCTATGTAGGCCCCAGTAGACTTATTCGAAAATTGATGACGTAACAGTGTTTGGTGCGGGACTCTCAAGGTAGCGTCTCCACCTGCAGGTTCTTTTCACGCGTTTTCTCGCTTACCAGGTGCCATGTCAGAGTGGTGTTTTCGGTATTGTGAAATTGTACTTTACAAATGCGTGAAAAATCGTTTTGCTCTTTGGTGTCCATTATTGAACTGTTTGCAAAGCACACCAACTGCACACTCACTCCCTTAATTTTTGAAAAATTTCTCACCAGAATGGCAAGCCTTTGGTAATTTTAATTATTTTTTCATCTTTCACAAACTTCTCGCTCTTTGATGAAGTCAATATTTTGACAATTTCTGACTGATATGGCTAGCCTGTAGCGGTCGGAAACACTGCATTTGTCTTTCAAAGTTTAATGATGTCTTGATAAAATTAATTTATTGATGAAATGACAGGCCTATAGTCTTGGGAAACATAATTTTTTAAAACTTTTTTCGTATTTCAGTGAAATATTATTGCGTGTCAACAAATAAAGAAAAATAAAACAGCAGTTCTTGAGTTCTTTGACATTGCAAAGTCTTCTACAGTCTCCATTTTAAATGGGAGCAAGCGCACTTCTCATCACGAACTTAAAGAGGCCAGCAAGCAATTTTTATGGTGCTTCTTTTCCTTAGCACAATGGAAAGCTTACCGGTCAGTGTCTATAATCACAGCACACTAATATGGAAAACACCGCATAACATTTGCTGCAAAGGCAGCGCCTCTTCTCATCGTGCAACTCCCTTCATCTTGTAAGCAGTGTAGATTTGAGTGGGGACGGATTACTGTACTGTATACATACTCTAATTTTGAAAACGAATTACAATGGGCATGACAGCATCAGCTATACTATGCGAATGTGTACAGAAAAATAAGACTCCATATTCTGTGATCCAGCCTCGAGGCTCTCTCACTAGGCTGCACCACATACTAACAGGTTTTTGTTATTTTTAAGTAGCGAATAAAAAGTACATATAAATCGAAGTCGCAACAAGAAAGGATGCTGAAATCTCGCTATATTTTGAGGTTGTTTTATTTATACCGGCATCTAATCACAAAGTCTGGCCAGTTGTCGGAGGTTCCTCTAAAAACACATGGTAGGACGAAATCGGAAAAAAAAAAGTCAATTTCTATTTCCTTTGCGATTGAGCAAGGGTATCACTTCATGCATATTTTCCACATTTGCACTTTTTCTAAAGCAGTATTTATTGTGGCTGACAACTAGTTTTTCTAAAAGCAAATTCAGCACCCTTTTGCAAGCCCCTCGCATGCGCGCTTGGTCTTTATGGTCTCTTTTTCTAAAGGAAACTTTGAAAGCCAAAATGCAGTCCGAAGATGCTGTGTGCCTTTATACTTGCACTTTGTCGTCGGAGCGCATTGTTGTAAATTCTTTTAGCTCGTAGCTTTATTACGCCTTATGTTTGTTGTGCTTGTCGATAAGTTGAAATGCTGAGGGTAAAGTAAGTCTCCAGCAAGTGTATATTTTACGGAAACCAATACAGTTTTCTTGTAGATGCGACGTACTGAAGCGTTGCACGCTGAACCAGCAAGCCCCTCATCGTTCAAACTCTCAGTGTTTTCAGCATCATTTGAGGCTTGCAGAATGACTACGAATATGTTTTGATGAATATAATTTGTGAAGCACTTAGACCAAATGGTGTATGCAAACCATAGGTCGGCAAACTCACTTGGACTGACTCAGACTCGGGTCGAGTCTGAGCGAGTGCGGTTGAAGAAAATTTAAGTGAGTGTGAGCCCAGTTCAAGAAAATTTTGGTGAGTCTGAGTATGAGCGAGTTCAAAGTGCAAGATACATTTCTCATGTGAGTCTGAGTGAGTTCTGCTTGTGTTTGCAGACCTATGGTCCCGTCTACTCATTTCCAGCATTACTCTGAGCCTTACCTGGATTCACGTGTACACTCACGCCTACTCAAAAGTATTCCAAAGCAGTATAATTCATACACCATTTATATATTTATTGACTAGAGGGATGAATTATATAAGGTGGAACCTTGTACTCTACCACCCCAACCCATTATATTTTTTAACTAGAATCTCCTTGGTGGTTTGCAGCCGCTCATAACTTGTATTCGAAGGTACTAATCAAAGGGTGCCAAGAAGAGCACCGATTGCGAGAGATGTCGGTGTTAAAAGACCCCCGACACTGGAAGTGTTGTTTGCGACTTTTTCACTGTAATTTGTAGCATTGCGTCTGGTAATGCCAAATTTTAATTGTAAATGCTTTAACACATCATATAATTAATACTAGAATCATTCATTCAAAACGATTTCACATCAGTTCCGTACCGTAAACTAGCGCCCCACAGCAGGGCAGCTCCTGAGACAACATGCGCTGAAGCTTCAGTGACGACAAACAATGAACGCACCGCTTCCAATTAGGGGGACCCGCTTGTGGCCAACAATCAAACGATGTGGGCACTCGAGCGGGTCGGAAAAAATAAAAGCATTCCTAGCTTTAGCAGCCAAAACCACCTTGGGAGCAGCTCAACAATAGAGCGGGTGGGGTGATGGAACAGTAGTCCTCGCGGGGTGCCAGTCGGGCTATTGTGTGCATCTCGCAAGTGTTTTCTGACATCGACAATACTTGCTTAAACTCGTCAATACTTGCTTAAACTCGTCCCGAGGGGATCCCTTGTCAAACTATAGAAAATGTCAATTCTACCAGAATACTTGGATGCGCGCATGCACCCTTACTTTCAAACCAAAATAAAATATCTTATAGGCAACGCTCATCACTAATCGGTCATAAGTGTCCCCGCATGCAGGACTCTCAAACAACACAAGTATCCCGAGTATCTTAATTTAGTGTCAGGGAGCCCTTTAAAGAGCATTGACATCATAATTGCAAAAGCTAATTCTAAACTAACAGGCTCATGAGTCGACTCATTCGAACTCACTCAGATTGAGCCGCGAGTCCGGTTCAAGAAAATTTTAGTGAGGGTGAGTCCTAGTGAGTTTGACTCGAGAAAATTTTGCCAAGTCTGAGTCGTAGTGAGTCCTTAGCGCAATGTACATTTCATGAGCGAGCTCCACAATTTAGCCAACTTATGGTGCAAACTGCCTGGTGCACGTGTTGAGCTAATGAGCATTGAGTCGCAAAGTTTCTGTTGTCTTTGCTTTGGTTCACAGTCTTTGAAAGGACAGTAAAGGCAAGTAAAGGCAAATCACAGTTTATGTGAAAGTGCAAGCACAATGTATGACGTCAACATCTAAAACGGCAATATCGTCAACAACAGGGGCCTACTTAATGAGAAATTAAGAAATTAAGAAATTCAGAAAAGAAATTTTGGGAATGATCCTAATGTTGTGAGTACGTCTAACTAGTAATGAAACTAGCTGAAATAAAAGAACAACTTTCCGTGCATCAAGATGCAATAAAATGCTGCTTGTCCATTTTTGTTTGTCTTTAGAAAAAAAAAAAGAAACGCCTGGCGTTACTATGGGGAATAATGCAAGTGGTTCAAAAGTTAAATCTTTGCCTGGTTATGCTGGATAGGTGGTACCAACAAGCGGGGGTCAGTTGAACAAAGCAAGCTGGAAATTGTTCAGTGGCTGTTGCTGCTGCTGTAGCTGCTACAACTTTTGCTCCGCTGCTGCTAGTGTCAACGGCTGCACAGTAAAGGCAAGCAACATTGGGCACGGCAACAGTGATGTCAGAAAGGCCGCTTTCATGTGGGTAATTCGAAGTGCACTAATGTGATGTGGACCACTGAAACATGATCTTATCACAAAATAAGCATTCTTGGCACATAAGTAGCAATACGAGTTTCTGTACTGAAATTTAACAATCGACGTCGACTTTATATTTGCCTTTAGTGTCCCTTCAAGAATTGCAACACTGAATTTTCTTTCGTTTAATGTAGGCAGTATTGCACAAGTATTCTGAAATAGTATTGAATCCTGGCCAAAGTACAGCCAATTTGCCAAAAAACGTTGACCATGATGATGGCTCACTAAAGAAGCAGGGCAATCAATACGAGATGTTGCAAAGGGGAAAATTGATGTTGGCAATTACTAAGTTTGTAGCTACTAAATAAAATAGTTAAACTGACATTTGTGAAAAGATATGCTCACTCTTCAGTTGGTTTTCAATTGTAAACTCTATTATCCCCAGACCATGTTTTTTATTGTATTTGGGTACTATTATTTACAACGTATTTCAAAATAACCAGACGATTCTTTTTTTTGCATTCTGCATAAATGCATACAAATATTGAGACATAATTAAAGTTATGCACTTTATAGTTTTTTGTTACAAATTTTCATTGATGCCAATTCACTCAAAATTTAGGTCTTAGTGGTGAAGAAATCACCGAAATTCTAATACTAGTCATACTTCAATAAATGTGTTTTTATTGTAGAAGCAGGAAATGTGAAAAAAAAGTAATGTGAATGTCCCTTTTAGTGACTGAGAAAACGGTACCTCAAAATGACCAAAAATGCATGTTTACGTATAGGGCTTACCTAGTGCCATTACAAATAATTTTGGTCAAAAATGCTTTCAACATTTGTCTTATTATTGAATAGCAACTGAAATTTCGACTTCAATTAATGACTGAGAAGCCTTGCCTCTCGGTCATTAGTGCCATGAAAAAATTTATTTCGAGAGCGACGCTTCAAAACGGCTTAATTACGTAGGTGCGGACACACAGCCCAAACATTTAGAAATGCAGCCAAGAATAATGTGCAGATCAACTTTAAAGCCTGTGTTTCCTGTGCATCTCCTGTGGCCAGCTCGAAATCAATATCGCAGTGGTTCGAATTACGACGAAGGCATGGCTGACAAAAAGCTCCAAATATTGTATTATTGGAAGATTTTCAGCTGAAGCCAGTGACGGTGTAGTAGTTATGCTGACTATAGTCATTCCACAATTATTAAAGTGTGCGTTTGCATGGCTTTGTGGTTAAGTAATCGGCTCGGAATCATATAGGTAGCACGATCAACTCCCAGTATGGCAGTTTTTGTTTATACTTTTTAGATTGATATAATGTATAATTCATGTCCGGCAGCTAGGCACCATCGTTCTGACGCTTTAGAGCCAATTTGCATGCGCTCTGTCCTTCAACATCCATCTTGCCACGTTCCTTCCTCAAGTTTTGTTATCGCCCCGTTATGCTGCACACAATTCTCGGAGCAGACCGTGCATACAGTGTTCGAGAAGCTTTAAGACTGCAGTAGATCGTTTTGTTGAGGATTGCGTCCACTTTGTGAGCATTTCAGATTATTCTGGAAACCTACGTCACCACTAGCCTATAACGCTAGAATGGTCAATGGCAAGTGTATAAATGCTGAAATGCTTCGCCGCTTGTCAGTTGATCGACGGCCGACGCTCAGTTCGCCGATATCAGTGCCAGTTGTCTGCTATAAGCTCAATTTCCTTTTACGTGGCCACAAGTCTGGCTCACTTCAATCTTCGAACTACTACATGTCTGCTCTCTGTAGTCGTTGTCACGACCCAGTGACATCTGGTGGAGGTGCTTCCCGATCCATGTACCGCAAGCCCCCTCCAGCCGTGAACCAAGTCCACGTCTTGAAGAAGACACCGACGACCTGCGTGAGACAATCCGAGCGATTGTGCGGAAAGAGATGTGCAAGCTATTATCTTCGCCGCAACCTCAAGTTAATTCGATTGCCAACATTGTCCGCCAGGAAGTTCGGCAATCGCTTGGGATCCCCGAAGCACCGCAGCCTGAACCGCAAGCTATGAGCTACGCCACTGCAGTGCGCCACAACGCTCCTCCACGCCCGCATCAGAATACTGCCCCACCGCAGTTGTACCGCCAGATACCGCCATCAACGTCATACCGCCCACCTATCGGCCAGCGCTACGCTCCTAGGAAGAGTGACGTCTGGCGCGCCCCCGGCCACCGCCCACTGCGTAAACTCTATTATCCCCAGACTATGTAGACAGGATAATCGCTGGTAATTAGGGGTAACTAACTGGATTCCCAGAGAAGGCAAGCGGGTTAGGGGGAGACAGAAGGTTAGGTGGGCAGATGAGATTAAGACGTTTGCGGGTGTAAATTGGCCGTAGCAAGCACAGGACCGAGTTGACTGGCGGAACAAGGGAGAGGCCTAGTCAGGCTGCTGATCATGATGATATTTTTTATTATATTTGGGGGACTAGGTGGTTTCATCATCGACGTGCCGCGTCCACGGTGGGTTGAAAGACCACGTGACATCGCCGAATATCTCGCCGGAATGCAAAGGACACCCCGAGGATCTTTTCGTTTACCTTCACCCAGCCGCTACATGTCACCGCATCGTCGTCAGTACACTGGCTCAAGCTGGGGCCGGTCACCTAGCCTGTATCGGGAAAACTTGGGGCACCAACCGATGGAGGTGCAGTTGCTGCACGACAAACTGTCGAAGATCTTCCGCTGTCACCTCAACGTAGCCCCGACGTCGAAACTTCGCGACCAGAAGTAGTCCAGATTACGCAACGTCAAAACAGTGGTTCAAACCGTTGTAGCCGTAATCCGACGCCGCAACCCAACTGCAACGCGAGGCGACGAACTAGCGACCTCGACAGTCTAAGGACGGCCACAGCTTCACAGCTCTCGTCGACACCGGAGCTGACTATTCCGTCATCAGTGGAACTTTCGCAGCAAAGTTGAAGAAAGTTAGGACCGCTTGGGAATGCCCTGAAATCTGTACTGCCGGAGGTCACCTGGTGACACCAGCGGGCATCTGTGCAGCCAGAGTGACCATTAACAGCCGCATTTGTCACGCAAGCTTCGCCGTACTGCAGCATTGCTTGAGAGATGTCATTCTTGGAATGGACTTCCTGAGCCTCCGTGGTGCGGTCATCGACCTGAGAATAAAATTGATAACACTATCCACAGAAAAAGCACTACCGCCACGCACCCCATCAGGAAGCCGTGCCCTGAATGTGCTAGAAGTCACCGCCTTTCCTCGCTCTAGCGTCATCATATCCGTTAGCACCCCAAAACTAGAAGACTTCGAAGGCGTCGTTGAAGGCAATCAGAATCTATTAGTCAACCGCAATATTTGTATTGCAAGAGGAATCGCTGAGCTGCGGGGAGGAAAAGCAACAGTTATGCTCACGAATTTCAGCAACGAGTACAAACACGTTAACAAAGTACAACGGTCACCTACATCGACGAAATTTTGGAAGCCACCAATGCTTTCCCCCTCGCCGATTCTGCAGAACCTACTCTGTGGAACGAAGCTCCTCACCCAGCTTTCAACGTCGATCCGATTCTTTCAATGCATAAGTAAGAACAGCTCAAGGCCCTGCTCCTGCAATACAAGGACTGCTTTTCGATGTATTCAAAAATTCGCAAGACCCCAGTTAACATCGCATAATAACAGAAGAAAATGCCAGACCAAGACGGCAGAGCGCCTACAAAGTTTCGATGCGAGAACGTGACGCCGTATAGAGACAAGTCGGTGGAATGCTACGCGACGACATCATCCAACCGTTTAAGAGTCCGTGGGCGTCACCCGTGGTGTTAGTTAAGAAGGACGGAACCCTACGTTTCGGCGTCTATTATCGCTGCCTCTATAAAATAACACACACACACAAAAAGATGTTTATCATCTCCCAAGGATAGACGACGCCTTGAATCGACTCCACAACACGAAGTACTTTTCGTCGATGGACCTCTAGGCTGGGTACTGGCAAATCGAAGTCGACGAGAGAGACCGAGAAAAAAAACGGCGTTTATAACACCAAACGGCCTTTTCGAGTTCAAGGTTATGCCCTTCGATCTTTGCTCAGCACCTGCGACTTTTCAACGCATTATGGACATAGTCCTGGCAGGATTGAAGTGGCAGACTTGTCTCGTTTACTTGGACGTCGTCGTCGTCTTTTCCTCAAGCTTCGACGAGCATCTTAGACCCTGAAGCCAGAAAAGTGCCGCTTTGCGTACGAGGAACTTTTGTTTTTGGGCCACGTGGTCCGGAGTAAGACCCAATCCGCAGAAGAAAGCCGCCATCGCTGAATTTCCGCCATCTGCCAACAGGAAGGCCGTGCGTCAATTTCGCGGCCTGTGCGCCCATTACAGGCGCTTCGTTGAAAACTTTGCCTGCATCGCCGAAGCCACTCAGAATCTATTAGTCAACCGCAATATTTGTATTGCAAGAGGAATCGCTGAGCTGCGGGGAGGAAAAGCAACAGTTATGCTCACGAATTTCAGCAACGAGTACAAACACGTTAACAAAAGTACAACGGTCACCTACATCGACGAAATTTTGGAAGCCACCAATGCTTTCCCCCTCGCCGATTCTGCAGAACCTACTCTGTGGAACGAAGCTCCTCACCCAGCTTTCAACGTCGATCCGATTCTTTCAATGCATAAGTAAGAACAGCTCAAGGCCCTGCTCCTGCAATACAAGGACTGCTTTTCAGTGTATTCAAAAATTCGCAAGACCGCAGTTAACATCGCATAATAACAGAAGAAAATGCCAGAACAAGACGGCAGAGCGCCTACAAAGTTTCGATGCGAGAACGTGACGCCGTAAAGAGACGAGTCGGTGGAATGCTACGCGACGACATCATCCAACCGTTTAAGAGTCCGTGGGCGTCACCCGTGGTGTTAGTTAAGAAGGACGGAACCCTACGTTTCGGCGTCTATTATCGCTGCCTCTACAAAATAACACACACACACACACACACACAAAAAGATGTTTATCATCTTCCAAGGATAGACGACGCCTTGAATCGACTCCACAACACGAAATACTTTTCGTCGATGGACTTCTAGGCTGGGTACTGGCAAATCGAAGTCGAAGAGAGAGACCGAGAAAAAAGAGGGCGTTTATAACACCAAACGGCCTTTTCGAGTTCAACGTTATGACCTTCGATCTTTGCTCAGCACCTGCGACTTTTCAACGCATTATGGACACAGTACTGGCAGGATTGAAGTGGCAGACTTGTCTTGTTTACTGGGACGTCGTCGTCGTTTTTTCCTCAAGCTTCGTCGAGCATCTTAGACCCTGAAGCCATAAAAGTGCCGCTTTGCGTACGAGGAACTTTTGTTTTTGGGCCACGTGGTCCGGAGTAAGACCCAATCCGCAGAAGAAAGTCGCAATCGCTGAATTTCCGCCACCTGCCAACAGGAAGGCCGTGCGTCAATTTCGCGGCCTGTGCGCCCATTACAGGCGCTTCGTCGAAAACTTTGCCTGCATCGCCGAAGCCACCAACTATATAACCTTACGAGGACTGACGTCGAGTTGAAGTGGGAAACCCCACAGGAGGAACTAAAACGACGTCTGCACATGCCTCTGATACTCACACATTTCGACGAAAACGCTGAAACAAAAGTGCACAGTGACGCAAGCAGCGTAGGACTCAACACCATCCTTGCGCAGAAGACTGAAGGACTGGAAAGAGTTATTAGTTATGCTAGCTGGTCGCTATTGAAGGCAGAAAGCAATTATTCCACAACAGAAAAGGAGCGCCTTGCTATCATCTGGGTGACGTCAAAGTTTCATCCTTACCTCTACAGCGGGCCCTTCAAGTTGTGAGCGACCACCATGCTTTGTTTTGGCTAGCTAACTTCAAGTTACCCTTCTGGTCGCCTTGCGTGATGGAGCCTGAGACTTCAAGAATACGAATAACCATCATTTACAAGTGCGGCAGAAAACACTCCGACGCCGACTGCCTGTCGGGAGCTCCCGTTGACCCACCGCCGCCCGAAAACCTGAATGACGACTGCTTCTTGGGAACCATAACTGCCGACGACTTCGCTGAACGCCAGCTGGCTGACCCGAACTTTAGGGACCTAATCAAATACCTCGAGGGCAAGACCTCCGTTCCGAAATTATTCAAATGGTCACTTAAGTCGTTTTCGTTGTGAAACGGCCTTCTGCAAGATAACTTCTCGCCGCTTCGAACCAAGTATCTTCTTGTGGTGCCTACAGCTCTACAACCAGGATTCTTCCAGGCCCTGCACGATGATCCAACGGTAGGACACCTTGGTGTTTCTCCCACGCTCGCGAGGCTACAAGAAAGGTACTGCTAGCGACGCCTTACCGCCAATGTCGCTCGTTACGTGAGGACATGCCGAGACTGTTAGCGACGCAAGACACCACCGACAAGGCCAGCAGGCTTTCTTCAACCGATCGAACCACCTCGCCGACTGTTCCAATGATTCATGATGGACCTACTGGGGCGTTTCCGATGTCAAGTTCGGGAAACAAATCGATTGTCGTAGTTATTGACTACCCCATTCGCTACGCCGAAACAAAGGCACTACCCAAAGGTAGCGCCGAAGAGATAGCCAAGTTCTTCGTTGAGAACATTCTCCTTATTCATGACGCCCCAGAGATTGTCATTACCGATAGAGGTACGGCCTTTGCTGCTGATTTCACTCAAGTGATCTTGAGCATAGCCAGACAAGCCACCGCCGCACCACCGCCTACCACCCACACACAAATGGTCTCACCGAGCGGCTAAACAAAACAATCGCCGACGTGCTGGCCATATACGTCGATGTCAAACACAAGACGTGGCACGCCATTCTTCCAAGCGTGACCTTCGCATACAACATGGCTGTGCAGGAGACGATGCAGATGCAACCGTACAAGTTGGTCTACGGAAGGAACTCGGCAACGATGCTCGACGCAATGGTGCCCATTGTCACTGACAAACAAAACCTCAATATCACCTTCTATCTCCAGGGCGCTGAAGAAGCTCGTCAACTCGCCCACCTGCGCATCCCTAATCAGCAGACTATTGACCGCCGCCGTTACAATCTATGGTGACGCTTCGTAGAATACGGGCCCGGTGAACGTGTTTAAGTATGGGCGCCGATACGCCGAGGTGGACTCAGTGAAAAACTTCTGCGACGGTACTTCAAACCATACAGAGTAGTACAACGTCTCGGCCCACTCAACTACGAGGTTGTCCCCGACGTCATTACGAACTCTCAACTTGCCGATCGCGACCTGAAGTCGTCCATGTTGCACGCCTCAAGCCGTTTCATGCATGTTAATGAACCGAAAGAGTGTATTTTGTTGTTGCTGTTGTTACTGCTGTGTCGTACTTATTATTTGTACTTTCTTATATTATTGTTATACTTTCATCTTCTGTTAAAGCATCGAGACGATGCCTTTTTCAGAGGGGGACATGTTCCATCTTTAAGGTTTGTTATCACCCCGTTTGCAGTACTCAGCGCAAACCGTGCCTGCAGTATTCGAGAAAATTCAGGACTGCTGTATGTCATTTTGTTGAGATTACGCCCACATAGTGAGTATTTCAGATAATACTGGAACCTACGTCACCGCTAGCCATAATGCTAGAATGTTCGATGGCAAGTGTATGAATGCCGACACCCTTCGCTGCTTGTGAGTTGATCAACGGCCGACGCTCAGTTCGCAGGAATCAGTGCCAGTCTCTTACGTGGCCACAAGTTCGGTTGAATAAACAATAAATTGGGGGTCAATGGGTAGCTTCGCGCCCTCTCACTCCATACGAAGGGGGCGCGAAAATAAAGAAAGCATGCCGCGCACCGACGCGTCATAACGAGTTTCCTAAATATACACTTGACGAAACTCTGGCGCTAGTGTCCATAGGTCCCGCAACACATGGCGCTTCAGCGAGCCTGGGAATGATAAGTAGTACACAGATCATCGTACTTCTGACTCTGCGTGTGTTCGTGTGGTTCGGAGCTGTTTTTTCATGAAACAAGAAAATCTGTTTTCTAACTAAACAAAAATAATGTATTGAATGGATTGTGCTTTACTATCTTTTCTTTTCAACTTACCATTTCAAATCGGGTCACCAAGTTCAAAAGGGTTCATTCTTTCTTTCAAAACAAAACCGAAACACAGCGATACTAGGTAAATCCAAGTACTACCCTTTATTCCCGTGGTCGCTGAACAATCGTGCCAGAGTCCCCTCTAGTTAATTTTAAGAATTTCTATGGTAGCTTGTACGTGTTGCTGTAATAAAAGTTTGGAGTTGCTTATCCAGTGATGAACCTTACCCCCTTTTCATGTGGGGGCCCCGCCCTGATCCTTTTAACGACCAATGGTACCCCGGGCGTTTCCCCTTTGGAAGCCATCATTGAAAAGCCTTGCACACGGGCCAATGTTAAGACGCGCCCTCCGTGCGACGGAGACAACCAGGTGGTTTCATCTCTGCTTCAGCGGCGTTTGTCATCAGCGCTCTTGTGCTCTTCTTACTGGCATGCTGAACATGCAATGCGCGGACGATGTTATCAGTCTGGAGTTTTATGAGGGACATAATGGTGACGGCGAAAGAAAGGGAAGAAAAAACCCTCCGAGTACGAGTGTTCCTGTACTCTCAATAATTGAAAGAATAACGCCAGCTGACAGTGAGCACGTGGCAAGCCTTGGTGAGGATGCAAAAAGGCTAGAAAAGGTAGGCCACAAATCAATCAGAACGGTTATGTGCAAGTCAATTGGCTGCCACTAGGGTGCTTTTTTTGGCGTGCGACGTATATATAGGAAAGCCGTGGCCCGCCAAAATGAAAAGAGCGCCAAACAATAATGCAGGGACGCTTGACGTAGACGAATTTAAGGCCTAAAGAAAGTCTTTCTTCCAGCACCATTTTCCACTCTGAATCATCGGCGATGTTGAGTCTTGATTTCTGACAGTCAAGACGATATATTCTTGAATAAGGCAGATTATATGCCCATTTCAATAACATTGATAGTAACTTCTTGGATAGTATTTTTTTTTTCACTGTAGGAAACTTTCGTCGCAATTTTGATAAGATACTGGGATAACTTTCGCCACTGTAGCATTAATAAAGATGGCACATTTCGTAACGTTTTGTCTTTAACTTCCAGTCTTAAGTTATGTCATCCGTTATTTGCCTTATAGTAAATTTCCGGGTGCATGACATGTAGCCATAACCCCCCCCCCCCTTTTTTTTTTCATGATACCACGGCGCATACTCCTTCTCCTAGCGGTACAGTAGGGAAACACCAGCTGATCTCGAAGGTTTTCATTCAGGGAAAAACGATTGTCACAGTGCCCATGGTCGTGGGCTCACAGGTACACAGATTAGCGGCAATAAGCATCTCTATTGTTACTTCGCTGTGTCTGGAAAGCGTGCCTTTTTCGCAAACGGAGGCTGTGCAACGATTTCAGAGACCTTTGTGTGCCCCGTAAGTACAACAGAATCGTTCCAGTCAAGCCCAACGCTAGGCGAAACGTATGATCTTCTCCACCGAGAGATAAGGGCGCTCGAGAGATTGTCCACTCCCCTCTTCTCCGCGGACCAAAGCACGCGTGAGAGATGAGAGCCGCCGCGCTTTCACTGCGCCATTTTGCTGATAATGCTGAAAACGCGATAGTCCCCCTCCTCCCCCAGACGGCCGCCGACAGCGGTAAGTGGTAGATATAAATAGTTTGACCTTTGAACGTTCTAGGACGTAGCCCTCGGTGGCTCAGTGGGTAACCCCTCGCTTTCACAATGCGGAGGTCCCACGTTCGATTTCGTGTGCCGGAGACTTTTCTCTGGAATTTTTTCTTTCTTGCATTTTCATGTATATATAGATACGTATACATATACGGTGCATGGCATCGACACCCACGTTGACGCCGGCGGCGAAATCCAGCCGACAGTGCTTATATAATTGCAATCGCAACTAAGAGGACGAAAGGTGCATCCGCGACATGTCAATGGTGTTGTACGTTTCTGAAGAAAGAAGTTGCTCAATAATTGAATAGCGTAAGGCTATATGAAGACTGCGCATGTCTGTATATTTCTAGGTTCGCACTCAGCCAAACTTAGTTGGAAATGCCGCCTGTCGTTGTGTGTTTCTTTACTCCGAGTTTGTGTTATTTCGCGGCTCAAGTAGGTCATTAAGCAAGTACCAGCTAGGCAAACAAATAGTCTTGATGCAGTGTTGAATCGTGGCTGGGGAAAAGGGGGGAGCACTTGTATAGCTGGACTGGTGAGGCTTGAGTGCGCCATCTGCACCCCTATGCTAACGCCAACGACGGCACCTACCAAAACGGGAGAGCAGCACATGGAAATGAGAAGTCCGTATATGATCAGCTGTCCGCTTTCTATAGCACACATATATAACTTATAGGTAGTTTGCTCTGACGTCACTGAAAGCGCTATGCTGGAGGTCCAGCACGTGTGAATGTGACGTTCCCGATGTCGCATTATAGTTATGAAAACTTCACATGCACATTATTTTGTTGTCCACGTCTGGAGACGCTCCTGCAACGTCGTTTTCACATGAGCGCAACTTGTTTGTCATCAAAGCCGTCATTGTGGAGTCCCAATTCCTTTCAGAAGCTGGGTCCGTGACTGCACGCCGCAAGCCATCTATTCATTGACGCTACAGCAGGAGGTTACAACACTGAAGAATATACATCTTCGTTCAAGCAACGTAGCACTTTTTTTCTTGGTCAGCTGGTTCCTCTGGTTCGTCTTGCAACTGTAATCAAGACGCTTTGAAGTGTAATGAGGTTTGTGTCGGTGAATTTGCTTATTAATTCCAATGTTATTATGGTAAATCAAATAAGAAAGATTCAATATGTGTATTGCGGTTGTCCGAAAGACACCCGTCTTAGCACAAACGTGATAGCAGCTCAGCTCTTCCTCTTGACCGAGCACGAACCTGGCAGCACGATTTCATGCTCGTTCAAAAGCAGCATAAAGGTAACCTCGATCAGGACGTGTTCTATGCAGGAAAGTTTGTGCTAAAATAGAGGACACCACAAAGAAGGAACACTAACTAAACAGATCGAGCACAAACTGTGAACTGTTTTTATTGACTGTAGAGTGTCGGTTAAACAGGGAAGCCGAACATAGCTGCGCAGACGTGCCGACGAAACATCACGTGCTAACGCACCTTATTCATCAAAAATGACACTTCTGCACAAAGAGCGATACTGAGCCCTCACTTACCCAGCTATCACTTTTCATGTTGATGAAGAACGCTTCCGAAATCTTAGGAGCACACGTGTTTTTGCTTAGCGCAACTTCTCCTGCGTAAAGGTTACCTGACTTTCAGGAGAGTTGCTTATTGGGCAAGTTGGTACATGCTTAGTTAACTACAAAAAAAGCCACAAGACGTTAAAATCGGAAAAAGCAGAGCGGCAGAAACGGAGACGTCTCCGTTTCTTCCGCTCTGCCTTTTCCGATTTGGACGTCTTGTGGCTGTTTTTGTAGTTACCTCACTTACCAAGAGAGACTGCCTGGCAGGCATGTAGCGGCTCCGGAAGAGGTTGGCATTTGCGCCAAAATCCATCCTTCTCGTTGTACGCTATGACTTCATTGAGCACGCGGAGGTGACCAGTCTCTGTCCTTGCGAGGCCTCCTATGGCGTACAGGGAGCCTGCAACATCACTGCGTTAAGGTCGTCTAAAAGACTTGCCTGACATGTAAAAAAAAAATATTGGTATCCCTTCCCCAATACTGGGCAAATGGACTCAAGGAAAGCTTGACCTAAGCCTATCTGATTTATTGTCTTTTTTTATCCACACCACGCTATGCTCTCTCCTTGTTTTCTCTGGCAAAAGACTTCCTGCCCACGTGCTTAAGACTATTTTACCTAAGTTGGCGCCGCCATCATGGGCTGTTAAGTCGATGTTTTCTTATTTTTGTATAACGAGATGTGGACGGCCTGGAAATATCATGTGCACCAACTCGACCGTTTTCATGTGTATGCGTCTACCGGGCCACTGTTTAGTTGTTAAAGATGCAAGATACAAAGGTTAACAGCCCAATATGGTGGTACCTCGAACGGGGCTTCTAAAATTTCGACCACCGCGGGTTCCTTAACTGAATTCATGGGCATCAAGCATGTCCCCCTATTAGGAATGCTCTCGCTGCGCCCGGAATTTGTAGCACATGGTGATCGGTGATTACGTCGAAGGGGTGACCATATAGGTATGGTCTAAATTTATCTAGAGCCCATATAATTGCCAGACACTCTTTCTCTGTCACAGAATAGTTCTTTTCCGCTTTGGTGAGGGTACGGCTTGCGTATGCGAATACGTACTCCTGGAATCCCGATTTGCGCCGCGCGAGCACGGCGCCGTGTCCAACACCGCTGGCACTGGTGTGTACCTCAGTCGGAGCAGTCGGGTCGAAGTGATGCATGATTGGCGTCGAGGTTAACAGGCGGCGCAACTTTTCGAAAGCATCGTCACAGGCAGGTGACCAAGCGTAACTTTTCGAGTCGCTGCGTAGAAGTTCAGTCAAGGGGTCGCTGATCATCGCAAAATTCCGAATAAAGCGGTGAAAATACGAGCAGAGGCCAAGAAAGCTGCGCAGATCCTTCAGAGACGCAGGTTTAAGGAGCTCTGCAACTGCCCGAAGCATGGCCGAGGATGGTGAACTGACTTGCTCCGAAACGGCAATTCTTCAGGTTGAGCTGAAGGCCGGCGTCAGTTAGGCACTGCAGTACTTCAGTCTAGCCTGCAGAGATGCGTTGAAAAATCTGGTGAAAATATAACCACGTCATCTAAGTAGCAGCAGGAATGTTTTCCACTTCAGGCCATGCAAAAGATTGTCCATCATCCGCTCGAATGTTGCGGGCGCGTTGCTAAGACCAAAAGGATGACACAGAATTCGTAAAGGTCATCAGGTGTGACAAAGGCCATCTTAGGCTGATCTTCAGGTGCCAGAGGGACTTGCCAGTAGCCACTCTGCAAGTCAACAGAAACGAACAACTCTGCACCTTGGAGGCAGTCAAGGGCATCGTCGATTCTCGGTAAGGGCTAAACGTCCTTTCGAGTTATTGTTAAGACGATCGTAGTCAACACAGAAGTGAATTGACCCGTCCTTCTTAACGAGAACGACTGGAGATGCCCAGGGGCTATTCGAAGGCTGGATGACGCCACGCTTCAGCTACTTGGTCATCAATAACCTGGCGCTCGGCTACGGACACGCAATAAGGTCTTTGACGCAATGGCGCAATGGTACCGGTGTTGATGCGGTGACACACAGCTGACGTGCGGCCGAGGGGAGTATGCTGGCAGTCAAAGGAAGAACGGAACCTTGTCCAGCAGTCGTAGAAGCTGAGCACGTTGCGAAACGGTTAACGTGTTGGTGATGGAGCTGCTCAATACGTCAGTAGTAGTCTGCGGCGAAGAGGCACAGGTCTCTCCGGCGACTTCGTGTTCAGCGAAAGGACCAGTCGGCATGTCGATAATTGCAGAAGGTTCGAGACTGTAAACACGCCCGACGCATTCACCCCGAAGTAGTCTTAGATGACATGGCAAGAGGTTCGAGATGAGCAGTCTGCTGAATGCCGTCAAAAAGTTTTAGAAGGGCATAAGGTAGCGGCGGACACTTGCGACGAACGAAAATGGTAGATGGCGTGAAAGGGCACTCTACTCGGTGCGCGAGTTGCAAGACACTATGGTAAGGGCAAAAAAGTGCGGCGGTATGACGACGTTTTCAGCAACAAATGGTCCCCGGTTTCAGGAGCATCATATAACGGAGCGCCGCCAAATACTTCAAACGCCACATCAGCGTGAGAGCAGTCGATGATGGCCTTATTAGCGGAGAGAAAGTTCCAACCCAAAATGACGTCATGGGAGCAGGAATCCAACACTAGCAATTCGATGACATAGATGAGGCCATCAATCGCGATGCGAGCAATACAGGCAGCGGCCCGCGTGACGTGCTCTGCGCTGGTTTTACGAAGTAATATACTTGCCAGTATAGCATGTAGCGCTAGACAGGATAACCGCTGGTCATTAAGGGTAACTAACTGGATTCCCAGAGAAAGAAAGCGGGTTAGGGGGAGACATAAGGTTAGGTGGGCAGATGAGATTAAGAAGTTTGCGGGTATAAATTGGCAGCAGCAAGCACAGTACCGGGTTAACTGGCGGAACATGGAAAAGGCCTTTGTCCTGCAGTGGACGTAGTCAGGCTGATGATGAGGATGATGATGATGATACTTGCTAGTGGCGTCATAACTTTTTTGAGCAAGCGGCAGAGTGTGACACTGATCACTGAAACTGCGTCACCAGTGTCGACAAGAGCGAGTGCAGCGACGCCACACTACATAGCCACATATACGTCGAGATCATTCGTTGGTGAAGAGAGAAGCTTTGGTCTTTTCGCGGGTGACGCAGTTCCTGTCTCTGGAACTGCGGCAATTAGTTTTCCCGCTCCGGCGATGAAGGACGACGACGCATCGGCGACGGCGAGCGGCGTCGAGGCGATGGCGAGCAGCGGTTAACCGGTGGGCGGTGGTCGGTGGGCTGAGAGCCTGTGAACGAATGGCGCTGTGGCACATAAGGGGCAGGTTCGAAGCTCTGGCGGTAGCTCTGGTGGTAGACAGGGACGCGCCGACGGCAGTATCGCGCTATGTGGCCAGGTAGGCCAGAGGCAAAGCATATTGGCCGCTTGTAGAGTGTACGCCATTGTCCACTACTCTGGACGGACCTTGGCTGAGCGAACCTAGGAGTGGGTCGTAGCGGCAAGGCTGAAGAGGTGGTCGAGCGGCCACTTCAGCATACCTTAGAGGTGCATTTACCTCGGCACAGGCAGCAGGGATCGACAATGGTGAAGTGTCACGGGCAGATGGCAGAACCGCGCAAACTTGCTCCTGGATGACCTGGCGAATGTTTGCTGGCAGAGGTGACGGTAGTTGGCCGGCTGTTGATAGCAGCGATAGCTGACGAGCGATCTCAGCACGAACAAACTCCTTGATCTGCGATAGCAGCGACTGAAGGTCAGAGGTGGTTGTCAGGCTTGAGAGGGTGTCATCCGGGACGTTAGTGTCGTCGCGTGAGAAGACGCTGTTGTCGGAGCTCGTCGAAACTCTTACACAACTCGATGAGCTCAGTGACAGGGTTCTTTGAGAGCAGCATTTGAAAGGCGTCCGTCGCAAATGCCTTTCATGAATGTCGGACCTTGTCACTTTCCGCCATCGTCGGGTCGACACGTTGGCAGAGGTCGAGAATGTGCTCCATGTAGCTAGTGAATGTCTCACCAGTTTGTTGGGACCGGCTTCGTTGGTGTTGTTCTGCGCGTAGTTTGCGCACACCAGGGCGTCAAAAAACACCTGCAATGCAGGTTTTGAAGGTCGTCCAACTCGGGATATCCGCCTCATGGTTTCTGTACCATAGCTTGGCAACATCCATTAAATAAAACATCACGGTACCAAGCTTCGCGGGATCGTCCCATTTGTTAGTAGCACTGGCTCGTTCATAAGATTCCAGTCAAACCTGAACGTCTTTCTCGTCGGTGCCGCTGAAGATGTCGGGCTCTCGCGAGAGCTGGGCACCGGGACAGACCCTGCGTGGCGAGGCTGGTTGGGGTGTGAAGCCAGCGTCGCCAGGCATGATGGACGGCAGCTTTTGGCTACGAAGCTTTTGGCCCGCCTGTACCCTGTAGCTAAACAGGGTACAGGCGGGCTTCGAGGGGCTGTGACGCGTCGCCCCAGTGGTGAAGCTTACTCTGCCTGGATACTCCCAACACGCTGCGTGGGGACCCTGCTACCATATCACACGCAGCGAACCGGGGGTATTTCTGATATTTTTTTTTATTCGAAAGATCAATAAAAAAATGAAACCCATGATAGCGCCTTTGGACTGAGCTCTCTAGTTCGATTGACGGTGGATGTCTGCGGTCAGAAGTGCTTGGATGGCCCTGCCATTGAAGGCCTCGAGACTGGGCTGAGCATTCACCTGCTATGATGGCCGGTCTCAGCCATGGAATCCGCCATTTCATTTTTCCCAGCCAAGTGCCGGCAGGATTCGAACCATCGACTCATCGGTTTCGAGCCGAACGCCTTACCGTCTGAGCTACCACAACAGCACTGGAGGCATAATTTGGAAGTTGCATAGCACAATGTTCAAGCCAATATGTCGATTTTTCGAGGTTGCGTGGCAAAATGTGTAATTCGATTTCAAGATAATTTTTGAAAAAATGGCAAGCCTATGAAAGCCTTTGAAAAATTGCCTGTTTATCGATTTTTAAAGTTTGCGCGGTACATGGAGTAATTCGATTTTAAAACCATTTTTGATGAAATGGCAAGCCTATAACCTTTGGAAAATGGCCTAATCCTATCGAGTAATTAATTTTTAAGACCATTTTTGATAAAATGGCAAGCCTATTATAGCCTTTGGAAACTTGTCAATTAGTCGATTTTTCGAGGTTGCAAAGCATAATGTGTAATTCAACTTTAAGACCTTTTTTGGTAAAATGGCAAGCGTGTAAACTTTATAAAATTGCATATTTATCGATTTCGCGAGGTTGAGAATTGCCTACGCTTCGATGCGTGGTATTTGGAATATTTGAATATCGGCACCAAATTTCGTGAGAAAATGCATATAACCTTCATTATGATTGGGGCCAACAATTTTGTTACGTGAC